ATGCTGGATTTTACATCTGAGCAAGATAAAAGTTTTCAGGGGCTTCTCTCTTTTTGTATGCTCATAACCATAACTGTAATCTCTGGGAGCACAGGAAGTTCTCAAATTGGTTTAAACTTTATTTACTGATGTTAACTTCTCTATTGCTTTAAAACTCCATAGACCTTTCAGAGTATGCAAGTCTTCGTGCAAGCACATCTAATTCACTCTAATCGAAGAAAAACTCCTTTTTTCTGCACCACAAAATAAATAAATAAAATAACAAGCAAACCTTATTTTGCCCTTGTACCACTAGGAGGCAGACTTGTATGGCAGCAATGGACTGTAAAGTGTTGAAAATAAATAAGGCATAAGGCCCAAACACATTCATACTGAACTGTTCACTCTGACACCCAACTGTCCAACCAATGTTTGGACACTTTTTTTGGATACTTTATAAAGTTTTTATGAACACAGAAAGAGAGTTGTAGTCTCGCTTCCTTCAGAGGAAAACAATTTAAAACTAAAGTTGTGCTATTTTTACCTCTTATCAAATTCAGTGTTTTTTTTTCTTCTCATGCAGGATTTGACACAATGAGAAAGGCATTGTCTTGTGAAATACACAAACATCCACATTTCAATCATGAATTTCTGTGACATACAGTACTGCGTAATAGTGTACATTCAAGAAGACAGTGAGAACAACAAACACAGATAAAACTGTTTAAAGTGCTTGTTTGGATTGCAAAATAACTGAGAGATCTGATCTGTAGTATTTTGAGATTTACATCTTCAGCAAAGAAAAAGAACAAACCTAATCTAAAAATAATTGGGTCAGTGTTGGGACCTTTGTCCCGGGACTCTACTGGGATTTCCAGTGATTTAATAAAAAAAACAAAAAACACATAAAGACCTAACTGTCCTGTTTGATATAAAAAAATATTGTCTATCCTGCAAAAATGTCCCTACTTTTGCAATATACTTCAAAATCAATAAGTTGAGCCTCCCTCTCAAAGGTCAAGCAAAGCAAACACAGATGGCACTGTACAAAGAGGACTGACACAGAGAGATTCAGTGGATTGAAACTAAAGCTGCTCAACATTTCTTCAACAAAGCCCAGAACTCAGAACACAATGACAGATATTAAACTGCTTTTTTGCGTTGGACTTGCTGTTGTACTAACAGGTACGTAATGGCGGTTTTGTGTATAATCTGACAGGTGACAGGCATGTTTTGAATCTGTGGTAATGGTAGCTGTTGTTCTATTTCTCGTTGGCCAGGTGTGGGGAAGTCAGCCTTTATTGGGAAGAGCCACAGCGGAGGGAAAGACGATCCTGTGCTGCAGTATGTTGTTAACAACTCACTGAGGGAGCACCCAGTCCTCACCAAGCTCAGACTGGTGAGAGAACCAGCAAGCCCTCATACACCACACTGTCTTATTCTGATATGGAGATGTTGCCCCCGAGTATATATTCTTAAAATTTGTTCTCTATGAAATTCTTTTGATCACCTTTAGCTTAGCATGGGCAGACAGCTGCCAACATATCAACATGCTGAAGCCAGCAGCAGGTTATTTAGGTCAGATGAAGGCTGGGTGGTCATCTGGTGCTCCAGGCTGAAAACTAAAGATGATTGTGTCTTTGATGTTGTGACTTCTAAAGTTTGGACCTCACTGCCACTGGATTTAACATCAGTGAACACTCTGGAAACTTTTAAAAAGCAGCTGAAGACACACACATGCTGAGAATTTAATTTTAGTTTGTGTTTTGGTGCTGTTGTTTTTTCACATTTAAATGATGTTATCTTTACTTTCTATACAAATACAATAAACACATACAGAACTACACATACATAATCACCACTACATATAATTTAAGGATCTAAGCAGTATAGTTTTTGACCACTAGAGGGAAGCACACTGACAGGACACCACACAGCTAAACGCAGTCTAATGAGAAGTACCAGAAAATGTTGTTTATCCATTTAGTCAGACAATATAATGATATAAAAATATTTCATTACTTTATATTTCCATTTCAGAGAACCCTTGAAGACCAATGGAGTATCATGATGGTTGCCAGTGAACAAGCCCAGTTTATGGCAAATCTCATTAGGCTGATAAACGCAACTAAAGCTATTGAAATTGGTGAGATTATGTGAGATCAAATTGAAGACTATGGAAGCAAAAAAATATAATATATAATAATTGGAATTTTAAAAGTACCCAAATAATTAATTGTGAAATTAAACAGCAACTGGATAATTCAAAATAAAAATCTGTTGGCATCTGTTGTTAAAATTTTTAAATCACATTAATTGAAATAGACAGTGTTTTACTGCTATAAATTTAGTGGTGTTCACATTTCAAAACAGTATTTGGTTGTGGGACTTTAATCCATATACTGCCTTTTTTTTTTGCTCCCAGACACTCGTATCTTTTAATCACCTTGAAAGGAGGAAGATCTGATTCTGTAGTAATTCCGTTTATGTATTCATTCTGCAGGGATGTACACTGGGTACAATACACTGAGCATGGCTCTGGCCATGCCAGAGAATGGAAAGGTGGTGGCTTGTGAAATAGAAGACACCTATGTGAACATTGCCAAACCATTTTTTAAAGAGGTGAGAACATTTCTTTCTTAACACCATGACTCACATCCACTGTGTGAATAAGGACATATACAGATAAAAGAAGATACTGTAAAAGATAATTTTTGAAACCTACTATAACTCCATTATAGTACAGGATTACACAACCTGGCACTTGTGCAACATTTGAATTTGGCCTTTTGCAAGTTAAGTGAGATTGATTGTTGCTTCTGTCAGAGTGAGATTGTGCAGCAGACAGCATACTGTACATCTACCTTCTGTCAGTATGTCTTGACAAAATGCTGCCGGCTGGAGAACAAAAAGGTGTCTGCTCAGGAAAGTGTGTCACATAAAGATGCGAAGCCAAGCAGGATGATCAATCCCCGTTTTAGCCTTCCCTAACACTCTCTTTAAGAAAAAAAACCCCACCAAAAATCCCTGCACAACTTTTTTTTTCATACAATTTAACCTTTTTTACAGGCTGGAGTTGAAGATAAGATAGATGTACGGCATGACATAGCCATGAAGACACTGGGTATGTACTTTTAATTTTAGTCAAAATAAAAAATAAAATGGACAGCCATTTTGCCATTTTAATTGTCACTTCTGTTTCATCAGATGCACTGATAGGAGCCGGGGAAGCTGGAACATATGACTTTGTGTTCATCGATGCTGATAAGTTTAACTATGACAGATACTATGAGAAGTCCCTCGAGCTCATACGAAGAGGGGGCATCATTGCAATTGACAACGTAAGTACTTACACAAGCAGGTTTAGCATCTGTCAGAGAACATATTGAGAGGACGTACAGCAGGTTTTGCCTGAACAGAATAAAACGGCTCTGTTGTCACTGTATTTGAAGGTGCTGTGGAGCGGAAGGGTCGTGAATCCTGATCCCAGTGACCTCACATCGCAGGGTCTGGATGCTCTCAATAAGAAGCTACACAAGGACCAAAGGATTGATCTGAGCATGCTCATTGTGGGAGACGGGCTGACCATTGCAATCAAACGCTAAAATCTGTTTGTCTTAATGGTGCTTTAGTTTTGATATTAAATGTAAACTTGGAATTGTGGAGTATGTTGCCCCTTTGTACTTTACTACAACAATAGTTGCAATAAACTTTTTCAACTGTCTCTCTACGTTTACAACTTTGTGTTTACCAGAACAGCGATCATAGAAGCGCTAACAAACAAACAAATATATATGGTTTCAACAGTGATTTGCTTTTCTGTGTAACAGAATATAAGACATATCATTTTGTTTACAGGCTGATACGTTCCACTCTATTTGTAGCAACATTACACTGTGGCCACAATAGCTCACACATCAAAATACAAAAAGATGAAAGTGGAATAAGAGGCAAGGAAACTAAAGACATTAAAAGAAGCCACAGTTAAGCTCTTTATAGTGTGATGAACACCGCAGCCTTTATTTGTGTATGTTATCACACCGCTAAGTGTCTTAAATTGTTGTGATCTGGTGGTTTTTAAATACGTGACAAGTTTTCTATTATATTTTGAAAGGGTAAAACATTCCTCTTTAACTCCACAAGAGCTCAAATGTAAAGTGTTCTTGCTTTAGTATAGCTGAAGGCAAGCAGGACTCCTTTCCTTTAAAAACTGTTAAAGGTGGTAGCAGAGCACATCCAAAAAGGGCATTAATCATTTCTACACTGGCCTGAGGCGTTACAGTAAATCAGTATAGATATAAGTACAGCCCCCTACAAAATAAATGTTTATATTATTTACCAGCGTTAAACCCAGGTTTCAAAAAATGTGTAATGAGATTAACACAGATGAGTTTAGACTGTAAACGCTCAAGCAAAAGTCATACTTAATGACTTATACTGAACAGTTTGTTTACTTTTATGGGCTGAAAAAAACATGAACCAGTGGTGGAAGAAGTACTCACATCCTTTAAATTAGTGAAAGGGGGGAAATACTGCAATGGAGAAATACTTGCAAGTAAAAACCCAGAAGCAGGTTGAATATCCGTCATATTGCTTCGGTGTACAGCGCAATATTCAGATTCTTAAGCCAAAGTAAAAAGTAGAAATACTAGTGCAGAAATACTCTATTACATGTAGTACAAGTCTTGCAACCTAAATGCTACTTCAAGTAGCTGTAAAATAAATATAGTGGAATACAAAAGTACAGTAGTAACACTAAGCACAAGTCCCTCAAAATTCTGCCTAAGTACAGTACTTGAGTGCATAAAACTGTCATAATTACATAATTTCAGCCTATATATTGTCAGTATAAAAAGGTGTGAGTTGAGATCTGCCGAACTAGTTAATAAGAAGGGTCTGTAAATTAACCTGCTAAATTCAGTAACCGTGGCCTGGTATAATATCAATAATAATAATAATAGTGTGGGGGCTGCCATATACTGCCAGTTCATCCGCGTCACTGCTGCCTGCGACAAACTGTAGTGTAAGCTGCTCTCATTCAAGCATCAGCTGATGCTACACCTTTTCAGCACCGCGGACAGCTCCGTTCTGCATACCGAGCAGATGGGGACGCTTATAAAAGTCCGCATGGAGCGACTCTGCACCGTACACTCACCGCGACAGCCCGAGCCACAGCATGGATAACCGATTCGGCTTTCCGCGCAGAATCGCTCCAGATGAGTATCTACAACACAAACCGAAGCGTTCAACATTAGATATTCGAGGGACGTCCACGGGCATGAATGTGACCGAGCCGTTATCCGGAAAGTTTAATGAGAAGGAACTGATGCACGGCCTGAACGACCGTCTCGCAGGATTCATAGAGAAGGTGCACCATCTGGAGTACCAGAATCGTATGCTAGAGAGAGAGATCGAGGAGATCAGGGGGAAAGCGAAAGCCGCATCTTCTTTGGAGGAGGAATACGGGCCCGAGCTCGGCAAACTGAGACAGCTGGTTCAGGATATCACTCATCAGAAGCATCAGATTGAAATTGAGCATCAGAATTTAGAGGACGAGCTGTCCGATTTGAGAGGAAAACATGAACAGGAGTCGCGCAGCCGATCTGACGCCGAGAACAACATTGTGGTCCTCAAGAGGGACATCAGTGACGCGTACCAGGCTAAACTGCGGCTGGACAAGAAAGCACAGGCTCTCGTGGACGAAATCCACTTCCTGAAGAAGAACCATGAGGCCGAGGTGTCGGAGATGTGTGACCAAATCCAGGATGCGCAGGTGAACGCCAAGGCGCATGAATTTGGCAACCCTGGCGTCACTGCGGCACTCCGGGACATCAGGGCGCAACTGGAAGGTCATACCGTGTCCGAGTTCGAGCAGGTGGGAGCGACTTTCCGATCTCAGTTCGCAAGATTAACCGAGGCAGCTGAGAGCAAGAGGGAGGCGTTAAAAGCGACCCAGCAGGAGATCCAGGAGTACAGGAGGCGCCTGCAGGCCAAGAACATCGAACTGGACTGCGCTAAAGGCACCAGGGAAGCGCTGGAGAGGCAACTTCATGACGTCGAGGATCGCCACAAGGAAGAAATGATTCATTACCAGGTAAGACTTTTTTTTTTTTTTAAATAAAGCCAAGTTCAGTGTTCACATGCACATTGTGTCCTGTAACACGTGTTCTTTCCTCTGTTACTCCAGAACACGATCAAAGAACTTGAAAATGAGCTCATAAACTGCAAATTTGACATGTCTGGTTACCTGCGGGAATACCAGGACCTGTTAAATGTGAAGATGGCTTTGGATGTGGAGATAATGTCTTACAGGTAAGGTGGGCCAAATCCACCTGGAGTGACAGTCCTAGTCCTCGAGATTATTTCCAAAGAAAGCATTTTTGGGGTGAAAAGATGGTTAAAATCTCAGTTTATGTTTCACTTTAGCTTTCGTCATCTATCATGAATGCTGCATTTGAGTATAATACAGTTAAAATATAATATCTAATGCTAACAATCACAATGTTCCACCATGGGAATCACAAAAACAAGGCAGGTAATTAAATAATACAAAACTGTATTTAAAGACTTTAAAGACATTCTCTAAATTGAATTCATATTACAATACCCTTTAATAGTAGTTTTTTTTCTTTCTCATACATGAGAATTACAATAAATTTGTACATATATCACTGCAGATGAAATCTGTGTCCCCTGTCTTGCAGGAAACTTCTCTGCGGTGAGGAGGCTCGACTCTCCACGATGTCAGACACCCACATCTCCTTGCCCTACATCTACCACCAGTCCCCCGTTTACACTCTTCCCTGCCTCAGCCGCCCGGGAGGACCGCACAGACGAGTCGAGCCGCACTACAAGTTTGTGGAAGAGATCATAACGGAGACCACCAGGGAAATTGAGATGTCAGAGTTTGAGGAGACAGGATCAGAGGAGACAGAGGTGGGAAAAGATGAGCAGGAGTGTACCAAAAGAGATGGAGGGAGCAGTGAGGAAGAGAAGGATAATAAAGACGTCAGAGAGGAAGAGAAGGATAATAAAGACGTCAGAGAGGAAGACGGTGAGCAGATGTCTGATAGTGAGCAGAATCAAGTAGCATCCGTAGGACATTCCGTGAATGGAGGGGATGATGGGAGTCCTGGTAAAGTAGATGATGGTGAAAAGGGTCAGAAAAGTAAAGAAGAGTCAGAGGAGACTGACGCAGGTGACAATGAAGGGGACAAAGTTGAGCAAAGTGAGGGCCTTGATGAGGAAGAAAATGAGCAACTTCAAAAAGTAGCTGAAAATGCAAAAGATGAGAAAGAAGCTGCAGTGACAAATGCAGAAGTTCAGAAAGAAGCTGGAGTGACAAACGCAGAAGTTCAGAAAGAAGCTGCAGTGACAAACGCAACAGATGAGAAAGAAGCTGCAGTGACAAACGCAACAGATGAGAAAGAAGCTGCAGTGACAAACGCAACAGATGAGAAAGAAGCTGCAGTGACAAACGCAACAGATGAGAAAGAAGCTGCAGTGACAAACGCAAAAGATCAGAAAAAAAAGAAGCTGCAGTGACAAACGCAAAAGATGAGAAAGAAGCTGCAGTGACAAACGCAAAAGATGAGAAAGAAGCTGCAGTGACAAACGCAAAAGATGAGAAAGAAGCTGCAGTTACAAACGCAACAGATGAGAAAGAAGCTGCAGTGACAAACGCAACAGATGAGAAAGAAGCTGCAGTGACAAACGCAACAGATGAGAAAGAAGCTGCAGTGACAAACGCAAAAGATGAGAAAGAAGCTGCAGTGACAAACGCAACAGATGAGAAAGAAGCTGCAGTGACAAACGCAAAAGATGAGAAAGAAGCTGCAGTGACAAACGCAGAAGATGTAAAGCCAGAGATCCATGCAGGGGAGGAACTTCCAAGAAAATCTGATGTTAGTGAAAAAGGAGACACTGAAAAGGACAGTTCTTTCTCCATTCAAGAGAAGAAGCCTGTTGAGGAGACCTCGGCCCGAGAGTCCAAAGAATCAGACAAAACTCAAGAGCTTAGCAGCGTTGTTCAATTGCAAGATGAGGTGCACACTTCAGTTTCAGAAACAGTCGAGAAAACCAGAGATGTTACAGCGGAGACCAAGAGCGCTCTGTCCGTGGAGACCGAGGAGCTTTCAGTAAAGGCTCGGGTAACTTCAACTGCAACACCCACGAGTGAGGGAAAGGAAAACAGTCAAACAGACCTGAAGGAAATCAATAAATCTGAAGCCGCAAAAGCTGAGGATAAAGTAGCAAAAAGCATTCAAGATGCTAAACACGATAGCAATAAAGGCCAAGAGAAAGAGTCGCCTGTTAAATCTGATGTGAAAAGTCTTCCTGGAGCGGAGGATCAGAAGCCGAACAGTGGCGATAAAACCCAAACAGACCAAGCTGTGTTGCCAAAGGAGAAGACAACTGTCAATGGAGAAATCAAAGAGGGGGCACCTGAAAGCAGTCAGGTTCAGAAACCAAAGCTGTCTGAGGTTTCAGAGATAAAAAAGGATCCTCGAGATGAAAGTGAGAAGGTGGAGAGCAGCAAGTCAGAGAAATGAGAGGGAAATGTGCTAAAAGCAAAAACGCTGGGGCATATCTTTTGAGGTCGAGAAAGTGAGGATAAATGACATTTTCCCCTTGAATGTAATGAGCGCACAGTTGGCAGGCAAATACCAGGGATCGTGAAGCTGAAAATAGAGAATGGCTTAATTAGTGCAGATGCAAATTTAAGGTCTAAGCTGAACCAAGCAATAAGAAGAAAACTCAAAGCTGTAACTTCTCTACACAATGACCGTCTTTAAAGGAGAGCATGATTCTCGGTGCAACAGCTTTGCCTTTGAACTTTCAATCAACTTGTTGACGTATTCAAATCCTTTAACTCACCACTTAACTAATGTATCATGAATGTAAAAGATGCAAAGTTACATTTGAATGAGTGTCCATCTTTACTTGCTTTGGTATGTGCTGAGAAATAAACTACCAACTATCAAGTCATATTTTGGTGGTGCTTTTGATTTTGCAATGTAGTGGGTCTGCTTACACTGACATGCTGTTTGATTATTCCACTATATATTTAACCCATGAATGCTAATTTCCCTCTTTCCTGCAATAAACCACTACACTTAATGCAATTATGCTGCTTTGATACTGAACTGTAAACACATGCACTAACCTCCATATATCAGATGTTGAGATTACCTGAGGACCAGCAAAGGGTTCCAGTAGGTCAATATCAGACCATTGTTTAGATAATTTTAAAGGCCAGGACCATTCCATATAAACCACTAAAGATTGACAGTAAATAACAGTTTTTGCTACCACGTACTATTCTGTAACCCCAAAATTAGTCTTGTCAGTGCACACATGATCATCTTAGTGTCATTAGAGGCAGGACAAGTCACACATAGGTGGGTATTTGAAAAGACATCCCATCTCAAGTATGACTTATGATCATTGTACAAATGTAGATGAGGGGTGATGTGGATAAATGGACAGACTAATTGTATATCAGTTATACCTTAAAACATGACAGCTGGTTGTCTTTAATTTATTCCCAGTCTCTCATTTATCTACTTTGAAGGTTCTTCAGTCGTCTTGCTCCAGAAACTGCAGAAGTTCGGGTTCTGAGTTCAACATTGAACCGTGGACTGGTGCTTCTATTATAATTAACCGGATGGTTTGAACTTTTTAAAACGTTTGCAAGTTTAAAACATGCTTCCACATTTTCTTTTTGGTGTAGACTGCACAACTTCAAATCAACTGTACCACACACACACGAAAATGAAGGTAACATTTTCAGAGGCTCCTGGACTGCCACCCAGTTATAAATTAAATTTGTGCACAGTCAGTTAGGGCCAGTCACAATAAACTCTGTACGATAAAAGTCTTGTAAAAGGGTTAACAGTAACCAAACAAGCTAGTTAATGAGCAGTTAATGGAACTTCAATACCACATATTAAAAATGCATTTGTGGAGTTCAAAGACTTTATTGAAAATTCATACATACACATAAGGACCTCCAAGACATCCTGTGGGCACTGTCTTTGCCCAGCACAGGGAAGAACTTTCCAAGAGTGCACAGGTGCAACTTAATGTTACACCTCTTCCGGACAATGATAGTTTGGCATTACTGTGAACATTGATTACTTGCCCCCTAGTACCTGTAAGTACAGAATAAACAAAAACAAAATTCTGCTTGGTCGGCCAAGTGTACAGGTTTCTCTGAAACTTAGACCCCACTTTTAAGCAACCCAGAAACTGCCCAGTTTAAGGGGAGCTTTAACAGAACATCGCAAACCCTGATGGCCGACACAAAACAAAACACGACAGAGCTTTAGTTTGTCCTTGTGTGCATGAACAGGAAGGGTGCAGCATATTTTTAAATAGCAGAAAAAGCCTAGTGTATTTAACATGGTTTGCAAATGATAACTGTAGATGACAAAGGAATATCAGATGGTTATGATTGTAAAAATCAGAGGGGAGGTATGAAAACGCTCGCCACACAAAACCGTAAACTGATGTTCTCATGAAAAACGGAGTGTCTGGGATTATCACAATAAAGCCACACAGACATGATGACAGGCAAAGGGATTGTATTGGATTTCATTATTATGGCAGTAATGGACAGGACAAATGACAATTTATAAATAATATGCCACCAACTGTCTCTTGAATAGAGAACTACAAAGTAAAAAGCAACAGAGGTAAAATATACCAATGACAGAAGCACCAGCTTGAAGTGGTACTCAACAAGTTTGTTGTCGTAGCCTTTGAACCAATCTCTCCAAAAGATATCCCCCTGCTGGTTTGAGTTGGACATACATTTAAGGCCAGATTCCTCTGATATTCCCTAGTCTCTTGCAGTATGAAGAAAGCTTAGGCTTCCAGTTCCAAGCCCAGACCCAGCTTGTGGCCTCCTGCGTTGATGTTCTTGCCATCGACTAGGCCAGACAGAGTGAGTTTCACACCTGCACGGGCGAGAGGAACCAACATTAGCCATTACACGTGCAAATGCAAAAATTACTGACCTCAAAACATTGAGGTTTGAGACTTCTGAAGGTTGACAGGGAATGTGGGAATGTAGGCTGTTAGTGTTGCTATAAATGACTTTATTCTAGGTCAAGTCATTTACAGAGTGTTTGCTCAAAACTGAAGTGCTGTGTGCAAGGATTCTAGTGTAGAGTCTAAAAGTGTGTACTAAACTTCTGTTAACTTGTTGATAAATATTTTGTCCTCCAGTTGTCCATGAACCAGTAGGAAACAAACTTACTGTTGTGGAAATTTCTCTGCTGCTGGTGAAGAATGAAATAGAGAACTTGAAATAAACTTACCTGGTCTAAGTGTCTGGGTGTACCCAACACCAACAAGGCTATTGTTGTTCACTTTAGCCTGTCGAAAAAAAACACAATAAAAGTCAGTTGGTGACAATTAATGGTTCATTTAGCCTCACTCAGTCCACTCTGAAAGCCTCTCTGCTGCACTACTTACACTGACGGAGGCATCCTTGTCCAGCTGGTATTTGGCTGCAATACCGAAGCGTGTGCTGTTGCTGCCAGCGGTCCAGGCCAGGTTGACTGCCGTCTCCAGCTTGTCGCTCACCTTCTGGTAGATGGAGCCTCCAAACTCAGCTCCGTCGTTGCTTTAAAAAGAACATATGCATAAGGAGTCATCTCATGCTACAGGAAATGCAGACAGACATTCTAATGAAAGAGGCGTTTGTTGTGTTGGAGGTCTCGCCATCAGAACATTTTCATCTACTTTATTTGGTTTCCAATTATTTAATTCTGGACTGTTTCATCAAAGAAAGGAAAACCTTTCCCTTGGAACCAACTTTCCCTCAGACCACAAACCAATTCTGGAGGTATTTTGTACATTTAAGACAAAAATCAATAGCTATAAGCAAAACAAACCTAATGCAGGGCCAAATGGCTCCACTGATAGAATATGACTGTACTGGTTGAATTAAGCAACCACCATACATTTTACTGTTATAGCTGCAGTTAAAGCTTGAAATTAAAGTTCAACATCTTATTAAAAATGCTAAATTAATGTACCAACCATCTTCTCAGTAGCTTTTTAGACACATTAAAACAGACTTTGTTTTCATTCATTTACCCATTGAGAGGGTTTCCATGTTTAATCAATCTGGAGAACACAGTGTAGATTAAATCTGTGCCTTTTCCCACTTGTAATTGACTTGTTGTGCATAGCGATCAATAGAATAGAAAGAAAACACACAAAAACAAGGTCTAGAAAAAAGTGAATGGATTCCTCTTACGAAAAAAAGTGCAAAAAAATTATGTAACCCAATCTTTACTTTTACTAAAAGTATTCTACTTACACGTTGGTGTGCAACTGGAAGTCTCCAGTCTTGTAGCCAATAGCAAAGTTGTTCTGGGTCATCTTGGATTTGGCGGTGTCAAAGCTCATCTGGTAACCGGCGAGCCACCCCTCGTAGCCAACGACAGCAGCTCCGTGGATGGTGGGGCCAGCGAAGTCAAAGTCGACATCACAGCCCATGTTAACGAACTCTCGCTTGTAGGCGGTCTTAACTTTGCCACTCTTCTTGCTGTTGATGAGAATAAGCTTATGTTAATCTTAACTGAAATCCCAATCATGTCAGATTAGGTATTACAAAAAATAAAAATTCTAAAATAAAAAGGTTACAATTTTTCACAGCACGCTTTAGGGACATTTAACATGGGGCTACAAGGCCTTTAAATGTACAAATTTTGACAGGTAAAAACATACATAAGCTCTTCTATGAACAGAAAGTAGGGGAAAAAAATGAATTTGAAACCACAGATGGCTAGAAGATGCAGACAATATGGTGCATGTTCTACAGGGAAGAACAGGACAAGAGTTGTACAAAATGTAAAATACTGCAATATTGAAACAGGTTATAACAAATATGCTTACAGCAGCCATCTTGAAAATCAAACTGCTCAAATAAGACAGCTGACCAAAATTACAGACAAGCCAGAACTCAAGAATCAATTAACTGTCAAGGCAAACTTAAATCACTTTGTGTTGCGACACATTAAAGACTATTAAGTGTCCATAACGGCATGCCTTACAGCAAATCTTTGTCAGGCCTGAATTTAACTTATTTCTCGTCAGTGTTGTCCATTTTAAATGTGGAAACATTAAAAAAGAGAAATGGAACAAATCTTGTGGCACCCTGGCTCATCTTCAAAGCCCCCCAGGGTGTAGCGGCACCCACTTTTTGAACCACTGCCACAGACTTATGATTCCCCGGAGATAATTCTAAACCTATGCTGTCTGCCAGCTGTCAACTCAAGTAGCAAACAAAATAAGAAAGTTATTTTTATTCAAAGGCCATATCACTGGAAGAAAGAAAAAAAGAAAAATCAGTCACCTCAGCACAAACCAGCTTTGAAGCAGGCATTTTCTTAAACCAGCATTTGTCTCAGTGCTGGTGTTCATTTCCCAGTCTGAGCATGACACTGTACCCTTGAACATGCTGTCTCAGTGTAGCCACATAACTTGACCCTCACAAACTGTACCACACTCAATATGAAACAGGACACGCTTCCTCTGGGCCATGTGCCATATCCCTCATGTGATTTAGACCTCATAGAAAGCAAACACATTAAGGATTGCCTGAGCCATCTGGGCACACTAGTAAAACTTGAGGTTTTTATTGTACCTGCCAGTAAAACGTACTGCAAAAGATCATGTGAGCAAACATATGGGAAACCTGACAGCCAATCAGAGTAATGCGTTACAATAAACTACTTCCATATTGGGACTGGGGGTCACATGGCCGGCAACTACACTTGTCAAAAGCATGTACAGCACAGATCAAGTTGCCAAAATGACTTGTGTAGAGAACATGCAGGGCCGACTACATTTGTTAAGTATGGTGACCAATGAGTTAAGTAGAGTGAAAGTCACATAGTCACTAACTTTTCCATAAATTAATCATTTATTATAACTATAATCTTACCCAGTGTTTGGAGAGAAGGTTGTGTCAAAAGTCAACTTCAGTCCCTTGGCAATCTGTGAGAAACAATAACAGAAACCATTTGACAAATGATTGTTATGAATGTTGTCATGTGGTGCTCACTGGATAGACACTCAGGTTTGACACCTGTTGAACAACGAAATGTTTTGAATATTTTCAAACCTGATCTTCAACAGTGATTTCTGTTCCCAAGGTGTTGTCAGTGTTCCACTTCTCAGTGAAGGTCAGGCCGTATTCTGACCTCTTGTATTTAGTTTCCAGACTGCCCGCAACTTTGCTGGTATCAGTGTTGGAGGAACCAGCTGTTTTGAATTCCTGCAAGAGACAATTTTAGTGAAACGACAATAACGAGAAAAGTTTAAAAGAGGTCCAGTGTATAGGATCTATTGGCATCTAGTGGTGGAATTGCAGACTGCAACTTGCTCCTCTTTCATGTGCAAATGAGAACGTACAGTGGCTGCGAAATGCGCAAAAAACACCAACAGCCCGATCTACAGCCAGGTTTCTGTTCTAGGCTACTTTAGAAACATGGCAGCATCTGTAGATATAAAACAGCTTACTCTAAAAAGGTAACACACATACAAAATTAACTATTTCTTATTTTGAAAAGGTCAAGATACACATGTTAAAATATAGTTATTCATTATATTCAATTTCTGCCAAAAGATCCTCCTAAATGTAACACACTTTTGTTTCTGGACTTTTAAAAGACAAGTTACTGTGAATGAAATAACCACAAACAAAAAGAAACCTCAGTCAGCCAGGTTATTACTATTTTTCATTTTTGGGGCCTTGAAACAAACAAAAAAAACCCCCTGTAATCTCAAGTACTAGAACAACTGGTCATTTCAACAGAAAATGACTTGATGTTTGTAGTAATAAGTAATTCATTTTTCACTTCCGTTTAGACCATTGATCAGACAAAACAGAAAATTTTAAGATGTCTTTTCCTTCTCTCTTTAGAGGAAAAAAATCATTAATTATTGTAAACTACACAGCTAAAAAAAAAAGAAAAAAAAAAGACAACTTTATTGTGGTTGGACTTCACTGTTTTGGGTCGCAGCTTAATGTGCAGTTTTCCTACTTAAGAGATCATGAAGTAAAGTTCTTTTATTCTTATCTTCTTATTCTAGTCATATCCCCAAGGAAATGGTCTTACCACTCCACTGGCTGACTTTGTCTTGACATCGAGCTTCACCAAGCCAAATCCTGAAGAAAACAAAAAGGTTTTGTTTAAAATCAATTCAAAGTTTGTCAACAAAATCAACTAGACTTGGCAGTACAGAAGGGTTGCCATCACAGTAGTCATGTAATTAAAAAACCATACCATAGCCTTTGTTGAAGATGTCCTTGGCAGACTTGCCCAGGTCAGCATAGCAGGGAGGCACAGCCATTGTATCTGTAACCAGAAGCAAAAACACAAAGTTCAAATTACTTCTCAGACATAAAAGTATATTTCCACCAGCTTCTGTCAAGTTATACAGAAACACCAAAATGGGGGAAAAAAAAACCACCATTATTTTCCAGAATTCCATGATCAATTTAAAAAACGAATCTCCACTGTACCATAAAGATTATGACAACAGTAGATCTCTCAAATGTACCACTCATGCACATATATGTATTGTAGTGTGTATAGTATACAATGCCTTGAAGCTATGAACGCATTGTGAGAATTATCTGGCCGGCTCTATACTTCCGTACTCTCAAGATGTGTGTAAAATGCAGGCTAGCATATAAACTGCATTGATTCTTAAAAGCCTGGTTCACATGAGGATAGCTACCACAATATCTAATCTTCCTCTGGCTGTCACACCTGTTGAGTGGAAAGCTAGTCTGGGAATGTATAGCCAATCTCTCTCCAGTCTCCTGTTGATAACCAGATGCACGGGTCTCCCCGGCTGCAGACTGACCTGTACCAGCCAGCTCATACTGGACAACACTGAGACACACAACCTTTGCTACACACTGTAAAACCCCTGTCTCTGATATGATAAGTTTCACGTTATCAAAAGGTTCGGCTGTAACTGCTGACTGGACACAATCCCAATCTTAGTTTCACTATGACTTTGACACCTCTGACACAGTGACAGCATTTCACTGTGATGCAGACAGTCCCAGCAGGAGAAGTCTGACAGCCAATGGACAAGGTTACTGAGCGACAGAGAAGCCATTTTGCCGCACTGGAGTGCCTGGTTCAGGCCTGGCCTTTATTAAACTACTCCTCCACGTGAATTGGCAGCCACTTCTAGGCGTGGCAAGACACATGCCGGTGCCAATTAGCTGGATGTATTAATTAGCCAGTTCACTCGCACTGTCAAGCCAGCTAACCTCACTGCTGCTAACTAGGCCACAGCGAGGTTAACACAACGATCGCCTCCGGTTAAGAGAAGTAAGTTGGGAATATTTTCTTAAAAGTATCTTTGCAGAACACGAGCAGCTTTGCCAGCAACACGAGACGTGTAAGACAAAGCTAAAGTTCCCCGCTTTTACCTGACATGTGTCAGACGCAGCATGCCGAGCGAGGCTAGCTTAGCTAACGTTGCTAGCTTGCAGAGTGCCGGTATGTGTAAAGCACACTTAAACACCCACTCTCGCGGGTCGTGGAGTCGATAAACAGCGTCAGACTGAATAAATGGCTCGCTTACCGGTACAGAAAGGGGCTAGCAGTAAACTAAAGTGACTTTATTGGAGATGTTCCTCACACCGCACGGCCGAAGCAGGCGTCACCGGTTGGAGGGCGAGCTGAAGGAGACTGCACTGCAATGAAATCCAGACCTATCACATCCCGGCTCAGGACCCGGGGCGGCCACCGACGTGCCTGAGTGAAAATTGTTTACGTCACGACATGGTGGCGTCCCAGTGCTAGCCTTAAGGATATTTTATTCATTTATCCTCTTTTAGTGTACCCATTTGATATGTTTGCATTGTTTTTTATATGTCTAGTTATATGTGTCTAGTTGTATAGTTCTTTACTATTTAAAGCTAATTTCCACCATCATGACTCTAAAGAGCCAAGCAGCTGTACTGCTTCAAAGAGCCACTTATTTTTCATTGATTAATTTGTATTGTGTGCTCATACATTATTGCAGAAAATAGAGTGCATTTATTTATTATAAAGCTATAAGTAGCTGTTCCTTAAAGCATCTTTAATGTTTTAAGCTGCTTTTTATGAGTGTGCGTAGGTTTGCTGTAACCACTTCCAATGAAGAGTTGCGTTCAGCTTCACCGGGGAACAGTTTCAAAATAGCATTTCCCAACACTGCAGATAATATACATTTCTATAACTCTACAATGCACTGATAATACCACGGTACGTGTTGCTCTTTAAATTCTAAATGCTTGCTGCTTCACAAAGCTAAAATTCAAATAAAATGATTTTGTACTCCACTACTAAGTTGTTTATCTTTATTCAGTTACATTTGACATCTTATTCTCTAAACATGCAATAGAAATGTGCATTAACATTTAAAGGAATGAAAACGGCATTTACATAAAAAAAGTTGTGAATAGTGTAGGCTGCATTAGTTTACATCCTGAAAATATTAATTAGGAATAAATTATTGTGAGTTTATGCCTAATAAATGAGAACCGTTAACTCAATATACATACACTGCAGATAAACTTAAAGACTTGCCTAAGACAATAATATTTTGCAACTACTTTATAAATGCTGAAGTGGATACAAATGCATGGAAAAGGTGAAACAACAAAAAAACTTGGTGCTGAGACAAAATCTTTTCAACCTGTTAGAGAACAAGAGAAAAATGAAAATGAGGAAGGTAGAACAAAGAAGATATGCAATGCAAAGCAAAGATTATGCAAAATTTTGACTTTCTGAGACCACCAACAAAACATGTGGAAAGTGTCAGACTGAGTTTGTGTATCTTAATATTTACACTTTGTTGCTTTAACCACAGAACTCTGTATTCCTTCCTCATCACTCTCTGAATGCGACCTCTGGGTAAAGAAAAGAGAGACAGACATGAAAGTTTCTGTTTTTGATTTTGTTTCATTATAATTACCAGCGTGGATAGTAAAAACAGTTTAAATGTAAATGTACTTATGCGTGTCTTAGCATGCTTCTGTGTATTGCATATTATGTATTGCATATTATGGTTTCAAGTTAAAAGTTACCTCACCTGACGTTTTTCTCGTGTATTTTACTTCCTCTTCAGCCTGTGTGAATTTTAGGGTCAGACAGTTTTGTTAAATTCCAGCAACACGACCATTTTTACAAGACTATAGGTTGAGTTCTGATTGTGGTTACTTAACAACAAAAAAAGTATAATATAATGTTAGTCCTGTAGTAAACATAAATAAATGGCAATGATATACTTTCTTCTTATATGGTGTCATTACCACCATCTATCTATCTATCTATCTATCATGTCATGATGCAGCATTCTCTATGATACAGTATATTGAATGATATATATATATATATAAATATATAAATATATATATAAATTAATCAGCATAATTTACCGTTGATGTGGTTGATGATTCTTTGGTCTGCTCTAAAAGAGAGAAAGTAAAACACCCATTACTGACTCTGAATGCTCATTGTCAGTAATGCACAATAATCCTCCTTTCAAACTAAATATTTCAGTCCAATTTTTATAGGGAAATTCAAGAAAAAAAAGAGGAATGCTTCAGAAATTTGTGTGTCATCCTTGCACAGGGGCCATGCTGATACAGAGAGGATTAGCATGGCCCCTGCGCAAAAGGATGACATGCAAATTCGTGAAGCATTCCTCTTTTTTTCTTGAATTTCCCTCGGGATAAATAAATAAATAAAGTATCTATCTATCTATCTATCTATCTATCTATCTATCTATCTATCTATCTATCTATCTATCTATCTATCTATCTATCTATCTATCTATCTATCTATCTATCTATCTATCTATCTATCTATCTATCTATCTATCTATCTATCTATCTATCTATCTGTATCACTTCACCATATACGATACTTACTGTGTCTTTTGACCATAAACCAGATGGATGAGGTCACCATTACAAAGAAGACCAGCAAGCTCAGACGGATGATGAAGCTGGAATAAGTGTAGCATGAAATTTTCAGAACACAATGCAAATAAAAACAAAGACAGAACATTGTTCAAATGGTCCTATGATATAGTTTAAAGTCATGGTCATACACTACACTACAGTTTTCCAAAATCCTATGAAAATATTACAGTACAAACACATGTAGAGATGGACGACAAAATGGCCACAGTTCTCTAAATACTGTATGTTAATGCAAGGCCACTAACATTGTATGTACTCCCTGAGCTGTCGGTGCTCCGCCTGTAAAGACAGAGGTGTGATGTTCAGGAATGGGTGATAAGGTGGTTACATTTCTTGTTGCTGTGGATGTGTATCAAAATAGCCATATGATTATCATGAAGTATGTCAATAATTTATGCTAATAGTATCAAATCAAAACTTTTAGAGATTGTTGTACTTGACAAGTATTTATTTATGAATTTAAATTACCTCTAATACTTACAAATGGTAGGTTTCTCAGTAACAGTTACATGCACAGGCATCTGAAAGTCTCCACTGACACACAAATACCAGCCGCTGTTCTCTGTCGTAAGGTTACTCATAGTCACATTGAAACCATCAACCTTTGAAGTGATGGTCACTCTTGTTTCAGCTATTGATCCAGACGACTCTGTCATACAGGAGCAACCCAGCCTGCACCACTTCATTTCTCCAGAGTTGCGATGGAAACAACTGATGGTTATTTTTTCTCCCTTAAATCCTGTAATCTCCTGATGGTCCACATAAAGCCTAGGCGTACCTTATGGGAAAACAAGTTCAATAGAATATTGTGGGTCAGTCTCCATGGCAAACAATGTGACCCTGAGGAGGTGTTTTTATATCAAATTGTTAAATTTTCACAGAGGATTGGAAATGTGCATAAAGATGCTTTAAGGTCTCTCTTACCTCTGGTGACTGACAGGTGAAAGTACTCTCTGACATCTGACCCTTCATCAATCTCCACAGCACACCAGTAATCAGTGTCCTCATCCGTCAGATCATTTATAGTCACAGTGAAGATTCTTTGGCTTTTGTCATCAGAGATTAAAAACTTTCCTGAACTTGGTTGGTTTGTTTTAACTGCATACGAGCAGGAGGTCCATGTATATCCTTTACACAAGAATTTCACATGGTTTATGTATTTTGACTCATAGAGACATGGGATGGTGATTGAATCTCCAGCCTTCACTGACACTTCACTGACTGTAGTTATGTTGTGAATTCCTGCAACAATACAAATACATAATCTTAATGGATTTATTCTCCAACAATGTATCTATATATATATATATATATATATATAAACTTAGCAAAAAAAGTAAGGAAATTTGTGTTTGGTAGATTATTTCTCTGTGGTGACAATGCTTTTTGGCAATAAATCTTATACTGTTGGAAAGCCTGTTTAATTCCCTTTCAAATGGTGACCCATTGGTAATGGTGATTGAATCTCCAGCCTTCACTGACACTTCACTGACTGTAGTTATGCTGTGAATTTCTGCAACAATGCAAACACTTTAATGGCATTTTATTGGATTTATTTACAATATTATTCATTCATATGACCTGCATATTGTAGACGTTCATATTAACTGCTATTAACTGTAGGCCATTACGGTCTTCAAAATATATTAAATAAAAACTGGAGGGTATTACCAACTGTCATCATTAACATCATCTGCCATAACCATTAGACACATATACACAAATGACCTTTGTGACTGACCTGTTAGTCCAGTGACGATGAGAAGAAAGCTCAGATAAACAGTCATGTCGGTGAGTGAGCAGAGTCAGACCAAACTACACGGACCAAGGAAGTAATACACTGACTTTCTACTTCCTGATTTTTCTAAATATGCAGTTGTTAAAATCTCTCTTCCTCCTGTGAGAAAGTAGCGATTGGTTGATGATATAAATATCAATGCTGCTACAGTGCACGAAGATTAAGGTTTACATTACTGGTAACTACAGTACAAACGTTTAGAACAAAAGACCAGCACTCCAAGCATATGGAATGAAATGTGTTCATTTATTAAAAGTCCTTCAATACCTCTTTAATGCCAATAATTACATTTTCCTGCTCAGAGGGTTGTCATTGCTTTAAAAGTATAATGTCAAATAAAATGATTTAGATTTTTAACAGCACTTCAGTGTCATTGTTGAAAACCACAGAATCTTAATTTCAAAACCTGTGTTTCTGACTTGAGGAGAGGAAACTCTGTTTTCCTGCTCATCGTACGACACGATACACTGCAAGTTTGTTCTTTCAGCTTTATTCAATCATATATTTTTGAAACATCTCTTTATTGTATTTAAAAAAAGGAAGCCAATCAGATGAATAACGATGACCAACAATCATAATCTGAACAATTACAAAACTAATACAACAAAACCAAACATAACATATATATACATATATATATAAAAAAATAAAAAATGATTTATTAATGATTTATTTTCTAAACATGCAAGAAGACCCAATGTAGAGTTATTAAGTTTATTAATTAAGTTATTAGGACTCAAATCTTGAAAATTACATAAGTTAAAACACAGAGTAAATATAGTATAAGTTCCACATCTCTAAAATATGTTTCAGGATTACTTCCATTGTAAGGCTTAATACATACAACAGTTAAACCAAGATCCCGACAAAATGAAAAAAGCAGAAGGAAGTTATTGCAAAACCAAACATTAACAGATAACACAATATTACCCCACTATCGTCTAAAAAAAGTGATGGACAGACAGACAAACAGACAGACAGACAGATTCGATTTTGTGATACGGGTGACATTTACAGGTTTTCCTGGTGCTGAGCCAATGTGCTATAGGTTACATCCTCTGCTTTTGCTTAAACCTGTTGGCAAACAAAAGAAAAAATGACAATTAGGAAGAAAGCTCAAAGACTCCAGACTCAAGACTAATGGCCAGGCCACACTGCCGGTGTGAGCATTGTGTGACTGTTGCCTCTCTGAACCACTGCCGCTCTCACGCCTATGGCTTACACACAGAGAGCGTTTCTAATCTATCTTTCTACACTGAGTTTTCCTTTGATAAATACAATACAATAAAAGACTTGGTAACAAATGAATGGAGTCTGTGCGCAGACGGGCAGTGTGGATGCTCTAACCTGTTAACATTAGCTTACTAAAATGTCCACAGTGACAATGCTAACATACTGATGTTTGGCAGGTTTAGCATATTTGCCATGTTCATCATCATCCCAGTTTAGCACGTAAATATGCAAACATTTGCTAATTAGCTAGCACTAAAGACAAAGCTCAACTGAGGCAGATGGGAATGACAGCCATCTGGCCACGAACAACCAATTACTGACTGAGAGACAGACAGACATTGCCATCCATACAGCCACGCTGCCAAAGTGACTAAAGAAACGTGTGAGAAAAAACGACCCTATGTATGTGAGAAAACGTATGAGGCAGGTTTCAGACCTCCATTTGTGCCGTTTAACGTTCTACAATAACCACAGAGCTGTACAGCACGTCCACATCACTCGTTATCTCAGCATCTGACCTCTGGGTGCACAGAAAGAGAGAAGAGTAACAGAGATCAGTCTGACATTTTTGTTTCTTTTGTTGTTGCTTTTTGCTTTATTCTATTATGGGTATGGTGAAATTTAAAAGTCTATTTCATTGTACTTGTGTCTTAGTGTAGTTTTATTGTGTAACACAAGTTACAGATTACCTTGCTTGAAGTTTTTCTCACAGGCTTAACATTGCTGTATGTTACCTCCTCTTCAGCCTGATGAAGGAGCAAACCAAATATCAGTTATAGAAAGGCTATACACTTTTTTAAATAAATTAGATTAGATTAAATCAACATGACAAGCATGAACTCTCCATATAAATATTAGAAATAAAAATCAATACAATATTTGATTACACAGTTTAGTTGAGTTTGGCTATATTTTAAATAATACACATATAATATATATATATAAAATAAAAGTTCAGCTCCAATAATTTTCATACAATCCCTTACCCGTCCTGAGGTTTCCTGAGGTTTCCTGTTTTTCTTAACAGTACTGTATGTTACACCCTCTTCAGCCTGTGTCGAAGGAGAAAACCAAATGTCAGAGGACAAAAAATGAATGACTAGTATGAACCAATGACCAATAACTGGTTCATTCATTAAAACTATTACCATATTTGTTAACTCCGATATGCTCAGTTTAGTTTCTATCTGTGAATGTTAACTGTATTCTATTACAAATACACAAAGGTAATATTCATTATCAAAATAACTGTTAGACACTCATCTGCAGTGCTACTTCAGCTACAAAGGAACCGTACAGTGTAGTTTCTAAAATGTTTACTCTCTAAGTTCACTGCAGTGTTACTTAAATAGCATAGTCTCCTACTTTGAGCTGTGAAATGATTGAGCATATCTTACTGTTGTTCTGGCTGACGATCCTACTTTGGTTTGCTCTAAAAGTGAAACAGTGAAAAGTAATTTTACTGACTGTAAATGCTCAATATGAAATTATGCACAATAGCCTGAATTTTTGGCATGAATTGGATTAATCCATTTTCAGCATTGACTTACTGTGTCTTTTTAACATAAACCAGATTACCAATGTCACCATAACAGTGAAGCTCAACAAACTCAAAGAGATGATGAGGCTCTTTAGGTCAACTAGAACAAGGCTGCCTATCCCACTCTGCTGACCCTCAGTTGTGTTTAGTGTTCTATCTGCAAAACAAAAGTGAGATTCAGACTCAGGAGCGGGTGATAATGTGGTTAAACGACTTGCCAGAGTATGAATATACAGTTATCCAATGAACACCAGTAATATTACAATAATGAATCCAAATATCCGATCTATATTAAATCTAAACTTTTACAAATTACTTTACTTGACAAATACTATATTTATAATTCACAATTATTTAGTACTTACTGGTGGTAAGTTGCTTAGTAACAGTTACATGCACTGGCATCTGAAAGTCTCCGCTGACACACAAATACCAGCCGCTGTTCTCTGTCGTAAGGTTACTCATAGTCACATTGAAACCATCAACCTTTGAAGTGATGGTCACTCTTGTTTCAGCTATTGATCCAGACGACTCTGTCATACAGGAGCTACCCAGCCTGCACCACTTCATTTCTCCAGAGTTGCGATGGAAACAACTGATGGTTATTTTTTCTCCCTTAAATCCTGTAATCTCCTGATGGTCCACATAAAGCCTAGGCGTACCTTATGGGAAAACAAGTTCAATAGAATATTGTGGGTCAGTCTCCATGGCAAACAATGTGACCCTGAGGAGGTGTTTTTATATCAAATTGTTAAAATTTCACAGAGGATTTGAAATGTGCATAAAGATGCTTTAAGGTCTCTCTTACCTCTGGTGACTGACAGGTGAAAGTACTCTCTGACATCTGGCACTCCATCAATCTCCACAGCACACCAGTAATCAGTGTCCTGATCCGTCAGATCATTTATAGTCACAGTGAAGATTCTTTGGCTTTTGTCATCAGAGATTAAAAACTTTCCTGAACTTGGTTTGTTTGTTTTAACTGCATACGAGCAGGAGGTCCAATAATATCCTTTACACAAGAATTTCACATGGTTTATGTATTTTGACTCATAGAGACATGGGATGGTGATTGAATCTCCAGCCTTCACTGACACTTCACTGACTGTAGTTATGCTGTGAATTCCTGCAACAATACAAATACAGAATCTTAATGGATTTATTCTCCCACAATGTTATTTCTTGACGAGCATATTGTAGATGTTATCATTAGTTGTTTCATGTACGAGCTCATTATAGTTTGCAAACTCTATGAAATAAAAACTAGAGGTTATTACTTGACTAACGGTTATATATATATATATATATATATATATATATATATATGTAAGGAAATTTGTGTTTGGTTGATCATTTCTCTGTGGTAACAATACTTTTTGGCAATAAATCTTATACCATTGGAAAGCCTGTTTAGTTCCCTTTCAAATGGTGCCCCATTTGTAAGGAACATGCACTTGTGGGATGAGCAGCAGAGCTGAGTATGTGGGTTGCGCCCTAGAAAAATTTGCCAAATCGTCTCTGCCAATGCCAAACAGCTTATTCTGTCATTGACTCGTTTGGTGTTTGGTGGATTGGATGATGGAAGTTTGAAGAAACAAGACATATTGGCAATTTAACAATTTCACAAACAGGAGCCTCAGTAGCGTGTGGAAGAACCATACACGGCCACAACAGCCTGGCACCTCCTCCTCATGCTGGTCACCAGCCTGGTCACACACTGCTGTGGGATGGCATCCCATTCTTCAACCAGCATTTGTCGCAAGTCAACCAACGTGGTTGGGTTGGTCACTCTGGCACGAACAGCACGCCCAAGCTGATCCCACAAGTGTTCAATGGGGTTGAGGTCAGGACTGCTGGCAGGCCATTCCATCCTCTCCACTCCCACATTCTGGTGGAAGTCTCTGATAAACCCCGCCCTGTCGGGGCGAGCGTTGTCATCTTGGAGGATAGAGTTCGGTCCCAGACTGTGGAGATATGGGATTGCCACTCGTTGCAGAATCTCATCTCTATATCTCTCTGCATTGAGATTGCCTCCAATGATGACCAGCCTCAGTTTTTTCCAGTGAGGGAGATGCCGCCCCACACCATCACACTGCCTCCACCAAAAGATGTTATTCTATCGGTGCAGCAGTCAGCATAGCGTTCTCCGCGTCTCCTCCACACTTTGACCCTACGATCCAACTGCCATAGGCAGAATCTGGACTCATCGCTGAACATAACGTTCCTCCACATGTTCAGGTTCCAGTGCACTTGTTGCCGACACCAGCGCAAACGGGCCTGACGGTGAAGGGCAAGGGAACTAAACAGGCTTTCCAACGGTATAAGATGTATAGCCAAAAAGCATTGTTACCACAGAGAAATAATCTACCAAACACACATTTCCGTACTTTTTCTGCTATATAAGACATACACACAATTATAAAATGATTTATGTGACTGACCTGTGAGTCCAGTGAGGATAAGAAGAATGCTGCGGTGAAGAGCCATGTTCGTAAGTGAGCAGTGGAAACAACACGCACCAGTGCGCTGCATAACTGACCAATTACTTCCTAATTTTCCTTATCGCAGCATTGGTCTTCCTCCTACTGTAGGGAAGTTGCCTCACATTGGTTAAATTGTGTATTTAAATAGATATGCAGCTAAAGCGTACTGTCTGAATACCATTTACTGTAGACTGGGTTCCACTAAATATAACATTTCAAGATCAATTCAATTTTATTTGTATAAAGATCAGCATACATAGCACGTAGAAATACACATTGTAGAAACACAGAATGGTGATAAGGTGACACACCTTGACTGGATTGTTGAAATCACTGGAAACGGTATATCTACAGACATTTCTTACACTTAATTTCTTGACTGCAGAGTTGCCTGGCTTTAAGGCTTTTCTCATATGTTTAACATTATAATATGTTACTTCCTCTTCAGCCTGTGTTAAAGGAGCGAACCAAATGTGAGTGGACTCTAACCTTGCTCTATGCAGTTGTATGCAAAATACATGAATTAGAACACAACTATGATATATTAAAAATATGCCAGTAGGCTTTTGTTTTAAGAGCAATCCAAATGTCAGAAGACTGAAAATAGTTTCTGAGGCACTGAATTTTGCAATAAACTGCTTATTTTATTGTTATTACTATGTTTGTTAAAATAGTAACCGTTTTTATACAGCAAATACAACATGATCAAAGGAGCATTTACTAAACTAAGCTCCATATTAGTCATCACATGTGTATGTAAATTTAAAAAAGTTGGTATATTTTACTTTGAAGCCATGGCTGGCAGATCTGTGAGGCTGTACTTGCCAGCATGCCAAAATGACACCTTGATGTAAAGATTTTCCAAATGATTTCTTTACAATTCTATGTACACATTAATGTACAAACTATTATAACACAGTCTAGTACAGTGCTTCAACAATAAAAAATGTTTATTAATAGACAAACAATTAGATTAATTCAAGCTCAGAGGCCATCTGATAAAGTTCGATTAAAATGCTCATTCTCAGTCTTGATTTAAATAAGATTTAAACTAGACAAAATATAAAGGATACAGTTAACAATATGAAAAAAAAACTCTTATGGACCTTTGTTCTTGGGATCAAGTCTAAGAATAGCTGCCAAAATGAATACAAATTTGGTCAGAAACCAAACCGAAGTGTTGTTGACAAATTTAATTTTTAACCTGAAGATGCCCCTAGATATAATTTATGGGATCACAAAAGTTATTTCAGTTCTTACGAGGGGGATGTCTGTTCCAAATTCCTGTAAATGTACATAATAGTTCATAGACATTTCAACCAAAAATGTGAGCCTAATGGTGCTACTGCTAGATTAAAGGTCAGAGGATCACCAGTCATTAGGATACTTCATCCGGGAACCATGAATGTCTGTACACAATTTCATGGTAATACATCAAGTAAATACACAGATATTTGAATGAACGAGTGTTAAGTTTGACCAATTGATCGCGCTTCATAAAAAAATTAAGGGGTCAAGTCATTAGGATTCTTGGGTTTACTTAAAACCGAAAAGGGACAGTACACTATATGAAAATGTTACACAATATATGATTCTTTCCAAAATACATCATAAATAAAGAATGAAGCAACATGTAGCTCAGCAGCATTGTAGCCATGGGAAATAATATTCTGTATATTAGCAGCCAGTAGAGGGAAGTGCTGAGTTGCTAATGAATCAAAATCTGCTGTTGAAGAGTGAATAGACTGTTCCAGCTTCAGAGATGTCAGTTAATATATTGACATAGTGTTTCTGTTGGCCAGTTTTGTACTACATTGCACAATGTAATATGCATATTGTAAGGTCAGCAGTAAAGTTTTCACATGAGTAAGATATTTACATGTTTATTCTTATTTTATTGGGGTTAATTTAATACAGTAATACTGATTCTGAGGAAGGGAAGCTATCAGGACAACCGTCTAAAAATGTTTTAACATTTCAAATTCAGTGGAAATAGTTGCTTATTTGGTCCAGTTGATTATATAAGGATTGATTCTCAGGGAGCTAACTTCTGCAAAGACGTGTGAAATATAAGGAAATTAAACAGCTGCCTTATCAAAATCACTAAAATGTCCTCTACATAAAGAGATAAGGAGTGAATGGTGTTATAGAATGTGATGCGGATAATCAACGGCTTTAATGATAAAAGACACAGGATAGGAAGGGGATGCAATCGGATCTGTTACAATCTTTCTTCCGCCTAAGTAAGGCAGTTGCATTACATAAGTTGACTGATGAAGTAAATAGTGCATGTAGCCACAAGCTCTTTTGAGTATGTAATTAAAGGATTATACACAGTAAGTAGCCCAACCATCCATTAGCTATCTGATGAGTGGATATTCTTCACAATATGTGGCAACCTATGGGGATACTGGATGATCATTGATAAAAATAAAAGAATGAGATAGTCAGGTACAGTGGCAGAAAATAGAGAATTTCGTTAAAACTTTGTAAGGAGAGGCTTAATTAGGGGTAAAAAACATTTCCTTAATTTGGTCAATTTTTGGCACCTCACCAGCACTAGGTATTTTATCATTCTTGTCCTTGCAAAGACAAATTCCCCACACCACACCATCATCTGTAGAGGTGTTTTGTCACCTGGCTTACCTTCTACAGTGTTTATGAGTTTGTACAATGGTGGCATGAAGCACTTCAGGTTGACACTCACAGTTTGCGAGCCCTATAATGGATGAATTTGAAACCTAAGCCTTTTCCACAGGAGAAAACACATTTATTTTTCATTTTAGAGCTCAAAATCAATCCGTTTTTTGTTTGTTTCAAAACAGTTTTTGTGCTTTGTATTTCAAAAGAAGAAGGGAAACAGCAACTAAATAAGGGAGGTTGTGAAATTTGCTAAATTTTTACTTTACGCAAAGACAGTCCCTGGAAGTTCCATGGTGATTTGCAAAAACACTGAAGTTGGCTGCACAGGGCTGGCACTTCCTCAGTGTCCCGCAATTGCCACAAATTTTACTTTCAATTGTCCCAGACTTAACAAACACTGACCCAAACTGAACATGATGATACCGTTTCATCTTTGTCACTTCATCTTTGTTTAAGTGACTTACATAATTTTACTGACTAACCACAGATATTAGTTCTGCTAGCTGTTTCCTGCACTTATGATTCTGCATCTGAATAAAAAAATGAACTCACCCGAAGCGTTTGGCCACCATCATTATTCTTTTAGTCATTTTAGTTACTGTTTCTAAATTTACCTACATACAAAAAAAACTATTTGAATATTTACAGGCTCAAATGCACTATTCACATATAAGCTAAAGGAACACAACTGAATCCATAGATTTGGAAATAAAGAACGAAAGAGAAGGTCCAACATGCTCCTCGCCTCCTTAGCGAAGGTTTGAGAGCTCACTGTAATAGCTACTGCTGAAACACTATAACAGTAATTTAGGAAAACACTTAAACATAGTTAATCTATGGGTGAGGTTTAACACTGGCTTGGGGATCAAGTTTATTACTGTTGAGGTACATAGAGGTGCTGATGAAGTATAATTTGTTAAATGGTATTTTGCCTAATCAGTCTGATCACATTAAGTATAACATATCAGTTTAAAAGCAGACAATATTAAACAAAACAAAATGATATAAATCCCGTCTTGGAAGAGTTATATAGTGTAAGCAAATATGAAATAATTAAAGCAGATGTTTTACAGATAAACCTCTTTGTGTTTTTATGTGCATGTCTTTGTATCACAACATTTGATTTGAGAGAAGAGGATTATGCTAAAAAATAAATGAGATGACAGGAAATGGGTGAGAGAGAAATGCAACAAAGGTCCACAAACAAAGGTGGTGTGTCTTGTGCAAATGGTCTATTCACAGTATGTGTGAAAATTCTAGTAACTATTAAAGCCTTATGTGTCCTTCAAAACATGTCCATCTGTAAAATCTCAATAACATTTACATTTCTGGAACCCGGTAGATCCAGAAACAAGAACCTTCACCAAGGGGTGCACCCTGGTAACTCACCTGGTATAACGTGCACCCCCTGTACAAAGATTGAGTCCTTACAGCAGTGGCCCAGGCTTAATCACAACCTGTGGCCCTATGCTGCATGTAATCCTCTCTCCCCACTTTCCTGTCACTCTTTACAAAAAAAAAGAACCTTCACATAGCAGCCCTGGTATCTGCTTTATTTGGCTATGCAGAAGTTTGTGAAGCAGACTTGAATGTCGTGAAATTAAAACACAACTAACAGATGAAGATTATATTTATTGTATAAGAGTGAACTTGAATGGATAAATTCCATGTCCATGAACTTAACTTACTGTGAGCTGTAGGCCTAATAAATAACACAACAGTAAACACAAGATTTGCCTAGTCATTGACACTGTCTCACACTTGACAAACAAGCAAGGCAATGTGTTTTTGAAAAGCAGAAGAGAAGAAAGTATGGACAAAGTATAAAACCAAATAGAGAGAAGTTACTGCACAACCAAATGATAACATAGGACAACACACTGTCACACTCTCATTTAAAAAAGTCTTCCAACAAGAGCCACATAGATTAATAGGTAAACAGACAAACAGAGACACGTATTAAGCTGTGCTGATGCTAAGCCAATGTGCTGTATGTAACATTCTCATCAATAGCTTGAACCTGTTGGGGGGAAAAAAAGAAGTTAAAAAATCACATAGGATGGTATAAAAGCATAAAAGGTGACATCTATATATATATTTACCCTTTGTACACTTTTTTGCCTTATGGCAACCACAGAACTATACATCACGTCCACATCACTTTCAGTATATGATGTCTGCATGAAGAAAGAGAGAAAGTTATGAAAGAGATGATCACTTCCCTTTTCAGATTAATTGAAATTTTGTATCGCCCTCGTTCTGAATGGTGAAGTAATATTTTATATTTGAGTGTACCTATTTGTTCTTTAGTGTACTCGTTTTGTGCCATATAAATTTTGATTTTTGTAGGTTACATGACCTGACATTTAATGACACACATTTTGACTTCTACTTTTAAGTACTTGTCGGATCATAAAGTGCTCAACTGAGTGATTATTGTTTTCTCTTAATAACAATAATAAACAAAGACAAAATTTAGATGTGCTGTACCTGACAGAAAAAAAACATATCTTCAATATTACAACAGCCTATAGCACTATAATGACAAAGGTAGAGTAAATTTGACATTTTACAATTTTCCCTGGATATCTCTGCAGTTATGGATTACCTGGGTTGAAGGTTTCCTCACTTGCCCAATATTAGCGTATGTTACTTCCTCTTCAGCCTGTGTTGAATGAGTAGATCCAAATGTTAGAGGACTAATACCAATAGAACAATGTTCAAATAGTCAAATAAAACATTTTCACATATTGCCATAGAACAGTGTAGCAAAGCAGAATTTCTTTAAAATCAAAATACATTGTCTGAAAACTTTCCACTTCCATTCTCACCCTACCACTGCAGTGTAAATTTAAACAATTAACCACTATCACACTTCTGCCTTCATGTGGATAGTTATAGCCTTCTTTATGAAAAAATGGGAAATAACCAAGAATCTTACCACTGTCTTGGTTAATGATGCTGATTTGTTCTGCTCTGAAAGTGAAACAGTGAAAAACTCCTGTTATTCTAAATGCAAATGTTTGTGTTAAAATTAAATCTTTCAAAGTTACAAACCTATTTGGTATCAATTGGATTTATCAAGACTTACGGTGCTTTTTCAACAGCAACCAGATGAACAGGGTCACCAATACAATAAAGATCAACAAGCTCAAAGGGATGATGAGGGTCTTTATGTCAATTGAAGCACTGGGGCATAAATAAATAAACACAACACACAAAGCAAAGTAATAAAGATAAACAGAATGTTCTTGTTCAAACAAGCCTACAATATAATGTAAACTGTATTCATCTTCTGTATTACAAACTACAATGCTACACCATCCTATAGTACCTCAGTTACTACCAATCAATTTTATTTATCATACAATTATGTATAGAGATTCCTACTTTTGTTTTTTTTTTTTACCACAAAATGGCAATAGTTTTATACATACCGTATGTACGCTTCAACCTCAACTGTGGTGAGATTCACATGCTCAGGAGTGGGCGATATGGTGGTTAAATGTGTTGTTGTTGTTGCAAGAGTGGCTATAATACAAAAAAAGAGACAATGATAAGTAGAGTAAACCTACAAAATGAACTCCTAATATCTCTTAATAAAATAATTTACCAAATGGCTGGTAATGTTTTTATGAGTAGTAATAAGCTTACTGGTGGTAGGTTTCTCAGTAACAGTTACATGCACTGGCATCTGAAAGTCTCCACTGACACACAAATACCAGCCGCTGCTCTCTGTCCTCAGTCCACTCATAGTCACACGGAAAACATTAACCATTGCAGTGATGGTTACTCTTGCTCCGGCTATTGATCCAGACAACGCCGTCACACATGAGCTACCCAGCCTGCACCACTTCATTGTTCCAAAGTAACGATGGAAACTGATGATTATTGTGTCTCTGTTAAATCCTGTAATCTCCTGATGGTCCACATAAAGCCTGGGCGTACCTTATGGGAAAACAAGTTCAATAGAATATTGTGGGTCAGTCTCCATGGCAAACAATGTGACCCTGAGGAGGTGTTTTTATGTCAAATTGTTAAATTTTCACAGAGGATTGGAAATGTGCATAAAGATGCTTTAAGGTCTGTCTTACCTCTGGTGACTGACAGGTGAAAGTACTCTCTGACATCTGGCCCTCCATCAATCTCCACAGCACACCAGTAATCAGTGTCCTGATCCGTCAGATCATTTATAGTCACAGTGAAGATTCTTTGGCTTTTGTCATCAGAGATTAAAAACTTTCCTGAACTTGGTTGGTTTGTTTTAACTGCATACGAGCAGGAGGTCCATGTATATCCTTTACACAAGAATTTCACATGGTTTATGTATTTTGACTCATAGAAACATGGGATGGTGATTGAATCTCCAGCCTTCACTGACACTTTACTGACTGTAGTTATGCTGTGAATTCCTGCAACAATACAAACACAGCATTTTAATGGATTTATTCACAATATTATTCCTTCATTTGGCCCACGTATTGTAGATGTTCATATTAACTTTTTTTTTTTTATAATTACAGAATTGTGTATTTACTATTTACTCATACATTCTTCACCTGAAATAACCAGCTCAAGCACAAGACTAAACATCTGTACACATAAAAGGACCACTGTGACTGACCTCTGAGTCCGGTGAGGATGAGAAGAATTCTGAGATTAACAGCCATGTTGCAGAGAGAGCACAGTCAGACAAAAAAATGTGCAACACTACTGCACTGACCAATTTTCTACTTCCTGATTTCAAAAGCATGCAATAGCAACTGTTGAAATATCCCCTCCTCCTCCTTTTAGGGCAGCTGCATTTGGCTTTATGACAACATACTTTTACAGGTGTATTTTCCTTTGACCATGTGAGATATGTACACGGTAAGCAGGTAAAACTTTATTGGAACCTGAGTTTCAAAGTGCTTTACATCGATGAACAAAAATGACAAGTAAAAATTAATAATCAATAATGGAGGGTGACCACCAAAAGAAGCAGAATTATTTTCATTTATTTCTTGCAGTAATTTAATCTTTCTTAATTATGCTCAATATTATACCACACCCCAAGCTATGCCTGTGGTTGTCCTACTGGATCGAACACTAGATGTACTGGACATTATTAATAACAATGAGATAATCACATATCGTAGCAAAATGTAGAGGATCTCGTTAAATGAATTGAGGTTCTCCCTGGATCATGATAGTCTTCAGTAGCAAGACAGCAGCTTGGTGGTTGGTAAAGCTGCACCAAGAAACATTGGCATGAGATAAACCATAGTAGTCACAAAGCCAATTCACACCTTTTGGTCTGTATTTAGCTCTTCCTCTGACACTTGTGTTAAAGTGACAATGACAACTGTCTTAACATGTTGTCTTGCCCTCCTGGACCCTTTAAGTATGTGCCTGTGGGGGACTGTAGGATTGTTCAATTCATCCGAAATGATGTAGGATAAAATGCACATTAGAATGACTTCCACGGTGTCACCATACTCAAGAGGATGCATATCCTCCCATATTTTCTGCTCATTAGCACTTATTATATTTAAGTCTTTAGTGTGCTGTAGATCACACTTCCCTCTGCTGGTTCAATCTAATGAGAGAAAACAAACACAGAGAAGAGAATGCTGACTAATCATGGACTAACAACAACACTAATCCATTTGTGTTAGTAACAGACAATTCAGATGCATAAAGGTAAAAAATTAAATGTCTGTAAATGTAAATGTTTTTACCTTCTGCTGGGCTGCTACATGTTGATTATGAGTGATGGTGGCGTAGAACACCTCAGGATCACTCCCAGTGTGTGAGATCTATAATGGATACATTTGACTTTAATCTCATCATATACTATGGTCTGTTATAATTATTTACTTCATTCTGTTTAACTGCATACTTGTTTGGTTAATCTGAATACAACTGACCTCTTCACAAGCCATCTTAAAGCACATTAAAGTCACCAAGATCACCTTTTTTCACCCATCGCCACATAGCTAAAATTAGGTCTCCTTGTGCTAGCACTAAAAGTCTTAACCAGAACCTGAAAGTTTGATCATATTACACCAACATTAGCCTCACCTCATTGGCTTCCTATCCATGTCAGACCAGACTTTAAGGTGCATCTGATGACTTACAAAACTGGCTACTTTTGCCCCTCTTCTCTATCCGATCTCATTAAACCTTATGTCCCGTCCCGTGCTCTTTACTCTCCGTTGAGGCCTTAAACTTAAAACCCATTTGTTTGCCGTAACTTCATTCTCAGATAAGTTCTCGCCACGCACCTGATACCATTATTTTTTAGTGGGTTGGTCTCAGTTTCTTAACCCTGATATCTGTATCTATATTTGTCCTGCTGACAGGGATTAAATGTCAACTTCCTCATAGTCATTTCATTTCTCCTTCTCCTGTTTTTAGTTTTGTTCCCACAAGCTGCCGAGGTCTGCGCATTTCTCTCTTCTTCCCTCTCTCTAGTTTTTCTCCTCCTCCTCTCTCTTAATCGACAACATCTGAAGTCGTTATAGTGTCCCCCTGGATCCATATTCTTCACATTATACAGTATTTTTTACTGTTCATATATTAGAAATGATCAAAATCTGTACATCATGTAATATTGGTTTGTTCTGTACACTCGACATCTATTGTGTGTCTGTCTATCCTGGGCGAGAGGTCCCTCCTCTGTGGCTCTTTTTCTTCGGGGAGATTTTTGGGAAGAGCATTGAGGGTCTGAGGACAGAGTGAATGCCCCTTGAGGCAAATTATGATTTGTGATTTTGGACTATATAAATTAAATTGACTACATAACCTTTATATTTATATGATCTGGAGTTTTTCTTTTGTCAGGGGCATTCATGTACAGTATATGCCATTTCCTGTTTGAGTTTAAAACTTCATAGTTATTTTTCATAGGTTTATTTTACCCTATTTTACAACACAGAGTGGCTAATGTGTGATATGCTGTTTAGAGCAGCACAGAAAGAGAAGAAACATTAACACTGTAAATTTGATTCTATTTTTGTTTTGGGGCTAAATTATCACTGCAATGGTTTTTGCCAGGGTCATATATTGTGCGTGGTTTTTTATTCTTATTTTATCAAGCTTTAAAATGTAATATTTTAGCAAAATTTCCTACTTTGGTGTATTAAGATGAAAATAAGCCAGGTAGAAATATCCATAAAGAGGGCAACTGTCTGTATTATCTAGAGTACAGTACTTTGAACCAAGATGATGTAGATCTAATAATTTATAGTCAACAGCTCACACTAAGTGTAATTTGTTCATGATCTTTAAATGCTGTTATAAATACTTCATATTGTGTTTGATCCGTCCAAATTTGGACATAATGTCAAATATTTTGTTATTTACTACGTAAAGAGGAAATATGTCAGTGATGTTACCAAAACATTATATAGCTTACCACAGTTCTGTTAGGCTCGTCAGGTTTGGTCTTACCTAAAACAAATACAATTTAGATATTTTAAAATATAATACATTTCACTCCTGAATTTGTTATAAGAGAGTTTACAACAGACTTACTGCGCTTTATAATCCTCCATCCAAAAAAGGCTGCAGGAACGAGCAACAGTAGTGAGATGATGGTGATGATGCCAATCATCAATTTTATAGAACTAAAAGATAAATGCAGATCAGACGTACATTTCATTAAAAAAACTCATAATGTTGTCTGAAATATACTTATGTACCTGTTCTTCTGTTGTATGTTTAATTTATAAAACAATTGTTAAAGGCAGCCACATTGCATCTATGAGTTACATAGGGTATGGCAAAATTAACTTTTCCGTGCTCAAATATGTGGTTTAGTGTTTTGAAGAGTACACTGAGAGAGAGGGTACTGCATATTAAGTTGTGCTGTATCAGGAAACACAAAGGGTGGAGAGGGGATAATCTGCAGAAACAGTTGTAAATCAGATTTGATGCCAGTTACACCGTTCAAAGTGGAATAAAATAAAGAGTACATACATCTTGTGTTCATCTTGCAGGCCCTCTCCATCTGCCCCGTTTATGGTGGAGTTTGTAGGTTCTGCACTTGTAAGCAGGGAGGCATGCTGGGTAGTGGTTGGAAGTGTCTCCGTAAAGTCTGCGTAAATAAATGTGAAAAGTTGTAGGTGATATTACGTTTTTTTTTATACTGCATATTGTGGATTCTTAGACTGTAACTCAAGGTAAATGACATGAATATATCAGATGCTGCATGATTAACAGGCATTATTTCCTGTGCTGACTTACTGGCCTTATTTCTATAATAGGTTAATTTATGAAAATAGAAAATGATTAGTATCTTACTTGTTGTAGTAGGGCCCATTGTAGTTGTAGTAGTTGAGGGTAATTTATGAACTGTGATATGCACTGGTATCTGAAAGTCTTTGTTGGCACACCAATACCAGCCGCTGCTCTCTGTCGTCAGTTCACTCATAGTCACAGTGGAAAAAGATGTGACACTTGCATTGATGGTTACTGGTGTTCCGTCTATTGACCCAGTCTGACCCGTCACACAGGTGCTGCCCAGCCTGCACCACTTTGTTACTCTTTGATGTTTATAGTGGCACACGACAGTCACACTTCCTCTTTCAAATGCATTAATTTTCTGTTGGTCTACGTACAGACTTGACGTACCTTGAAAAAAGCATAATACAAAATGAAGCATAGTCGGATTTTATCATCTGTGACATGTAAGTGAAAATCTGTTTTTTGTCCCACCAAATAGTTTGCAGAAAGGATTTCAGATGTGTTTAAAACAGATTTTACCTGTTTCGACTGACAGCTGAAAACGTTGTTTGACATCCAATCCAAATTTCTTCACAGCACACCAGTAAGTGTCATTGTTCTTCAGATAATTAATAGTCACAGTGAAAACTGTTTGGTTTGTGTTATCAGAGATTGAAAACTTTTCTGAACTTGGTTGGTTTGATTTAATTGCATATGTGCAGGAGTACCAAGGCTGTCCTTCACACAAGTATTTCACACGGTCTATGTATTTTGGATCATAGAGACATGGGATGGAGATGGAGCCTCCAGCCTTGACTGACACTTTACTCACTGTAGTCACTTGACTGTGAATTCCTGACAAAACAACAGCAGACACATATTTTATAGTGGTGCCTTCAAATGCATTGTATAACCCTATCATATCATTTACCAGTTACACAATGACATCTACATAAAACATTTGTTAGTATAATATAATAATAATAATATAATATATATCACTACATTTATAAAAAAGACATTAATGATTAATACTGATGATTGTCTCTTAATGCAAAACTCAAATTGTATCACTCAACTGTATCAAACATATTTAAGCATAAATTTGACAGATATTTCTTATTAAGCTGACTTACCCATGAGTCCAGCGAGTATTAGAAAAATATATGGAAACGCCATGCCTGCATCAATGTTATCAGTGAATGAGCACTTTCTATATTACAGAAGGTTATTTTACCTGGGTCACTTCCTCATTTTTAACACTGCTCTTTTGGTCGTGCTGTAAATCTGCTGGTCTGGTCATATATACTTTATGGCATTAAAACAGTACTTCTTTAGTTCTGAACTTCCTTGAAAGTAGTTAAAAATTGACTTATCATCATCACAACCTATCACTATACTGTTAAACTGACATTTATGTTTAATATTGTTTATAATTTGCGCAATGTCCCTTACACCTAAATAACTAGAATAAATCAACCAGTCAATTTGGAGTTTACATCCATGTCTGTCCAGACTCATATATGCAGTGAAGATAATAAAAAGTATTAGGTGTGTTACATTGGAAAAAAGGACATTATCACTATCATGACATGCATGACTCCAATTAATAATTTCTTGAAGCTGACCTTTGACCATTTGGATATAAAATGCCATCACTTCATCATTTTGACATTTGTGTGAAATTTATTGTCATGATTAGAGTATGAGTTCTTGAGTTATAGCCAAAAATGGGTTTTGTGAGGTCACTAACCTTGACCTTTGACCACCAAATATACTGTAAAAACAGGCAGCTAGGGAGGGAATTGTCGTGGTAGCCAATAGCTATACCTAACGGCATCTTAGTACCTTCTTGTAGCAACCAGTCTATCTGCAAACTCTGTAAATCACCTCAGTACCACTTTCAACAAACTGGCCTCTGTCTGTCTACAATATTTTCTCCATCAAATATAATCCAGTTTCACCAAAAACACTGATAAAGTTGTGCTTTTGTACAAGTAATAATAAAACACTCTGGCTCCAGGAGGAAGCTCTGCTGTTAACTAACTAGCTAACTGATGAATCTTCGCTTTGCGTCGCTAAAAGCTAAAGACTGATTGACAGGTGAATGTCATGAGATTATTGGTTTAAATCGGTTAGTTCATGCTTACGTAAAAAAACGCATCACATTTTGTTTTACAGGAAGACAAAATGATAAGATTTTGATTTATAATAATAATAATAACAATTATATAATAAGGATGCAATCTTAAAGAGTTAAAATGACATTTTTCATTTCACCTGGCCATAGTGCCAGTAATAAAAGGCGTTCTTGAGAAATTAGGATTAGGATTAGAATAGGATCTTGACCTTTGACCACCAAAATATGATCAGTTCATCCTTGAGTCCAAGTGAATTTTAAGAAATTCCCACAAGAGACGGACAGATGGACAACCTCAAAACAGAATGCCTCTGGCCACAGCTATCACCAGCGGGGAGGCATAACAATAAAGCTGGAATCTGGAGGACAGGATGAGAGGGGTTGTCCATGATGGATTTCAGCTTCCTTCTCATCCTCTTCTCGGTCGCTGCCTACACACTGTCTAGCTCCATCCCCACCACCGAGCTGGAACTTCTTCACCAGCTTGCCCAGCTTGTTGGTGCCGCAAGTCCCGATGCCACCTCCCCAGCACACCACAGCAGAGAACATGACACTGGCCACTACAGACTGGTAGAACATCCGCAGTAGCCTAGTGCACACATTGAAGGATCTGAGCCTCCTCAGAAAGAGCAGCCTGCTCTGTCCTTTCCTGTAGAGAACCTCAGTGTTGTCCGTCCAGTCCAGTTTGTTGTTTAACTGCACCTCCAGGAACTTGTAGGTGCAGTGCCGGAAGTCCACCACCAGCTTCTTGGTTTTCCTTGTGTTGAGCTGTAGGTGGTTGCTGTTGCACCACCCTACGAAGCTCTCGATTAGGCCTCTGTACTCCTCCTCTCTGTCGTCTGTGATCCGAGAACTTCTGTAGGTGGTACGCTTCCGAGTGGAAGCAGAAGTCAGATGTAGGGGGTGAACAGAAACGGTGACAGAACAGTTCCTTGGGGTGTGCCAGCGCTGCTCGTCACCACATCTGACAAGCAGCTGTGCAGCCTGACAGTGATCCTAGTCTGCGATCTAGGCTACGAGGTCCTGATCCACCTGAGAGGCTGGACCGTGTCGAAAGCGCTGGAGAAGACAAAACACATGATCCTCATGGTGCTCTGTGGCTTCTCCAGGTGTGTGTGTGTGTGTGTGTGTGCAGCGGGTCCAGGCAGTCACGTACCAGGGGCCTGAGGTGCTGCAGATGACATACTTCATATAGCCTATATTGATAGATAGTGACAGTGATATTGATTTCTTTTTGAGGTGGCCCTTTTCTCAAGTGGCTAAACAGGACTCTGCGTCTTGCTACTGTGGGCCTGCTGACCTCCGTTAGCTGTAGGTAATACACTGTCTGTGGATAAGAGCCTCATATAATCCCCCTTTAAAATACCCGCACTGTCTCTTTAAGAGCCTCTGCAGTTACCGCTGTAGACGATGACGACGTCGCGACACGCATGCGTAATGGCCGACCACAGATCTACGTCGACTTTTGAGGACGTTTTTTTATGTAAATTCAAACGATTGCGCGAAATACAAAGCGACAGGACAAGCATTTTTCGGCGCCCGGTTAGAGTTTAGAGACCGTCCCGAGCTGGAGACAGATGTAAATGAACAGCTCCACCGGACAGAGGGTGTATCTTTATTTTATCTCCGGTGATGGACTACGGGAAGGACAGAGTGGTGGCGTTAGTGGACATGGACTGTTTTTACGTCCAGGTGGAACAGAGACTCAATCCAGCTCTGAGGAACACTTCCTGTGTGGTGGCCCAGTACAAGACGTGGAAAGGGGGCGGGTGAGTTTCTGACACACAGACATTGTTTTTCTGATAAACCCAACTGAAACCGACAGCCAGGAGAGTGGGAAAGCCCTCTGTGTTTGCCGTCTGGATAACAGCATTTAGCTGCTAAAACTCTCTAGCCCCCTTATGTTTACTCTGTGCTGTATCCTTTTAGCATAACGTTAGTTTTTGTTTGTGTTTATGGAGACAGCAGTGCGGTAAAGTGAAACCTCTGAGGCCTTATCGCCATGGCCGCAGCGACTCCATGTCGCAGGCTGTGTTTAAAGACAGTAGCAGCACAAGTAATGGGATGCAAATGAGTATTCAAATTCTTGTAAATGATTTCAGGAAATAAAAGAAGAGGAACTGAAAAAGAGCTTAAAAGAAGAGCTCCAAAATTAGATGAAGGAGAGGACTGGGAATTGCTGACCCCGGGTGACTATATTTAAGTGTGAAAGATCATTATTTAACCTAGAAATAGTATAAATAGTAGTTTTTACAGATGTCTTAAAAGTCTTGCTCAGCTCAGTTGTCACAGAGATTGCTCAGTTGCCATCACTTGGCCTGAATATGGAACACAGAGGGAACACCTCACTCTCTCACTGTTCAAGATCAACACACACTGCGTATTTACACATGGGTAGAGTGTGCTCAGTGGCATGGATCATAAATTGCTGCCTCTGTGCTGGTGACTCACCCGCCTTCATCATCCCTCGGACCTTACTACTACCACATTCTCACAGTTTGCAAACATGACGTAATAATTTGTTTTTCTACAACTAAATGTCATCCTCTGTTAGTATCATAGCTGTGAGCTATGAGGCCAGGGCCCATGGTGTCACCAGGAACATGTGGGTGGACGATGCAAAGAAACTGTGCCCAGACCTCCAGGTGGCACGAGTGCGTGAGTCTCATGGCAAGGCAGACCTGACGCAGTAAGTGCTGGTGATGTACTGTACAACCCCTACACTTATTCACAGTTCCTGGGGTTGTGCCATAAAACATTTCATTTTTTCTTTGATAGGATGAATAATGAATATATGATATTTTGCTACCTCCTTGTGTAGTTACAGGGAGGCGAGTGTGGAGGTTATTGAGGTGATGTCTCGCTTTGCTGTGATTGAGAGAGCCAGCATCGATGAGGCCTACATGGATCTGACTGCTGCAGTCCAGCAGCGGCTTAAAAACATGACAGACAAGCAAATTGAGCCTCAACTCAGGACGACTTACATCCAGGGGTACCCAATAAGTTCACCTGAACTTGAGGCCCCTGCCGAGGGTGTTGTGTTGGATAAAGGTAGGCTTAGGCTCCATTAATTGTTTCTGCACTTGACACAGGAAGGTGGTGTTGAAAAGTGAGACGAAACAAAACCGTAAATGTATCGCTCTAATAATGTCATGTCTGTCCCTAGAGGAACAGAGGTCCAGAGGTCTTCAGCAGTGGTTGGAATCCCTACCTGGCCCTCCATTAGGGGAGCAGAGCTCTGCAGAGCTGCAGCTTACTGTGGGGGCGCTCATTGTCGAGGAAATGAGGGCAGCCGTGGAGAAACACACAGGTTTCCGCTGCTCAGCAGGGATATCACACAATAAGGTAGGTAAACCTATCATTGTTTTAGTCTCATAAATATAATGCTGGTGCAATACTTTAAAGAGTAATTGTTTTTGCTGTGGTCATAGTTTACTGTCCACTTTTTCCAGGTGTTGGCCAAACTAGCCTGTGGTCTGAACAAACCTAACAGACAAACCATTCTGCCTTTGGATTCGGTGACAGAACTTTTCAGCTCTCTTCCCATCAGCAAGATGTGAGTTCAAAATAGTACTGCTACATAAATAACTCATCACAGATTATAATCATATACTGACATAGAAGTGTAAAAACAGAAGTTGACTTGTATTTTTGCTTATCTCACCTGTGCAGCCGCAACCTGGGGGGTAAGCTGGGTGCCTCCATTACAGAAACTCTTGGAATAGAAAACATGGGAGATCTGACTCGCTTTTCTCAGGCCCAACTGGAACAGAACTTTGGAGAGAAGACAGGGTAAGACAAGCCAGATATACCTTTTTTAAAAGACAAACACAATCTTGCTTAGTTTTTACATTTATTCTGTCAGACACCGCCATCATTTTAGGTGGAATGGACCTTTTGATTACAAAGTTGGCTCATAACTAGCGTTTTATTTCTACTTGATTACCAATTATTTATGAATGAATCTGTCTGCTTTGCAGTCAGTGGCTGTATGACTTGTGTCGGGGTATTGATTTTGAAGCAGTGAAACCCAGACAGCTTCCTAAATCCATCGGCTGCAGTAAAAACTTCCCGGGGAAGACATCGCTGGCTACAAAAGAGCAGGTACAGCTCATCACTCTCTGCTTCCCGGTGTATAAAAAGTCGTGCTCAATCTGTCTTTTATTTTGAGTCTCATATTGACCGTAACTGAAAGTGATGAAACTTTCAGAGAATGTAGTTGATCCATCTAGATGTGTAGCAAAGGTAATATTGTTAACAAATGTACCAACTTTTACATTACATTTCCTTTTCTTGTTTTCATGTAATTATTAATACCCTCTAGGTACAGTACTGGCTTCATCAACTGGCCCTAGAGCTGGAGGAGAGGCTGACCAAGGACAAAGAAGTGGTAAGAAAAAGCTACGTGTAGTGTAATGTATTTATTTTCCCTTATTAAAGCAGTACTACCTATTTCCTAGTGACTATAACTGTGCCTGTCATTTCTTAACGTCTGTCAGAATGGTCGTGTGGCTAAGTTGCTGACAGTCGGTGTTCGTCAGCTTGGGGACAAAAGGCCGAGCAGCTTCTCTCGCTGTTGTGCTTTGGTGCGTTATGAAGCGACCAAGCTATCCAGTGACAGCTTTGCCATTATCAAGAGTCTCAACACAGCAGGAAACCACCAGGCAGCATGGTAATTAGAATGTAATAGCCCTGAAATATTTTAAGTCATTGGTTGAAGGAATCCTGTGTGATTCATTTGTCCCGCATCATGTCCCCAGGACTCCACCCCTCACCCTGCTACACCTCTCAGCTAGCAAATTCAGTGATGCTCCATCAGCAGGGGGGATTGCTGGCTTTCTGTCCAGTGATGTCACTTCAACCCAGAGTGTTTTTTCCACCCCTCAGTCTTTCACCCAGCCGCCCTCTGAACTGAAAAATGACTCCGCTGGCAAACAACCGGGCACCATCCAGTCCTTCTTTCAAAAGGCAGCTGAGAAACAAAGACAGAAGGTTACAAACGATGTAGAAGAAGATTGCATTGGCTCAACAGGAATTCTCTCATCTAACTCCACTCATAAAACCTCTGTTGCTGACTCTCAGGTGGAGACAGATACCAATTGCCCAGTTACTTCCCTTACACTTTTTTCTCACTCTAAAAATGGTACAGCGAGCCCCCATTCTGATATTTCCTCTTTCTTCCACAAGAAGACTCTTGAAAGAAACATACAGGCCTCAGCCTCAACATTGACCAAACCTGACATGGAACACACGCCTGGAGAGTTTACATCCCACCAGTCGCCATGTGAGGAGTTAAGAGATGAGCTGGACATGGATCCAGAGGTAGATCACTGTCCTCCCACTGTGGCCAGAGAAGACGTGTTGAACTGTGAGCGCTGTGGCCAGGAGGTGTTGGTCTGGGAAATGCCTGAACACAATGACTATCACTTTGCCCTGGACCTCCAGAATTCCCTGTCTTCATCCACGAGTTCAGCAACCATCTCTTCATCTTCCTCCACCACCACTTCTTCTCTAACTCCTGTCAGAGTGGGAGCAGCAGGCATAGCCCAGTCCTCCCGGGGCAAGACAAAAACCAGAGGTCAATCGGGACCCCAGTCCAAAAGGCATCGCTCCCAAGGTGGGAGCACGGGCACTCTGGATTCTTTTTTCAAGAAGAACTGAGGATGTGTTGTAGAACTGCATTTTAAAGTAAAGTAAAACACAAATTTCGGACAATGTCCAAATGATCAATGTTATTGTGCTTTATATTATAAGAATGTGTACAAATTACAGAAAATGTTTATTTATGTTCTTTGTTTCACATGCTTTTTATTGTAAAGGGAAAGGAAATAATTTTATAAACCTGAGCCTATTAAAGATACTTTTTACATTTTGTTGCAGTTTTCTGACACACCAGCAGATGCCACTAATCAGTCGAATATAGAGGAGGAATCCCCACTTGAGTGTCAATACGAAGTCTTCTTGTGAACATACTATATTTTGTAAGATAAGAGTACAGATGTGATAAGAGAAATGCTGATTGCCAGTAGGATGAAAGAAATTGCACCATTATGAATTGAGCCCACCCTGTTCTGTTAATACTTTTCTACAAAGGTGAACCTATTGTACTGTAGTGCATTGAAAAACAAGTGAATGAGGAAATTACTCTTGCGTTGTCTTGCATCAGCTGGGGAGCAGATTGGGAGGAGCTGTTCCAGGAAAATGAAACCAAGCCATTTAAATGTCAATGTTGTGTAGTGATTCATGGCTCTGACACATCCAGTAGACAAACCCTGGGTGTGTGATGACATGCTTGAAAACGCTGAGCATTTGTGTTCTACTTAAAAAGAAAAAAAGCAACTGCTAAAGAGACAATAAAAGTTTTATTCATGTATATCATGATACACAAATTGGATCTGTACATAAATATTGCATTTCACCCAAATAAAGATCAAAATATTACAATTTCAATTAAAAGGAAGGTCTTAAACGTGATTTCAAAAAAGTGAAGATGTGTTGGTGTCATTAAGAAGACTGCGTAAACAGTGAAAAACGTGTCTGAATGAACTGTAAAATCTGGAACTACTACAAATCTATAAAATAGTCAAATGCATTAAAACAAACACCTGATATAACTTCATAAAGGCTATCAAATATTTTGGTTGAAATGCGTTTTTAGTTTTCCTCTCTTTGAGTGCACACAAACTGTGCATAACAACGTGGGTGCAATAAAACAGGGCACACATTTCAGTTGTCCTCTATCACCGATGTCAGTGGGACAATCTATAAGTCACATCAACATGCTATAATAAGAAAAAAAAATAAGGCCAACAGTAGCCATTCATTTTCAGTCGTCTTCTAAATATCAAAAGTTGTTTAAAGGAGTAGCACCAACTTAATAAGATTGTTTACTAAGTCATAAAACTTTGGGGTGTAATGGAAGGCTACTCTTAACAGTAGTACAACCAGGCACTGTGTTAAACCCCTTCAAAATGAGTGACATCAGTAACTTAAACGAAGAGACAAAGTACCTCAAACATAATTGCTTTTAAACGAAGCTGCATCAGTAGGCAGCTTCACATACTACAGAATCCATAATCAAACACATTGCTTTGGAAGAAACCCAAACCCCTCTTTTTTTCCTCACACACCCCCCCCCCCAATGGAGTAATTCTGTGAGAGTGGAATGCTGTCTAATACAATATCTACACTGACCTGAGTAACTAAAGCACTTGAAAGACAGGCAGCGAGATCATTGCCATCTCACTGCACTATCGTGAGGCATTATTTGTGAATAGAAAAAATAATTCTTATAGACATGTGACATAACAAAACCAGTTACTAGGTGATTGCCAATGTGAGTTATATTGGCAGGCTGACACACAAACTGGGTCAAGTTCCAACTTTGCATACCTCTTAATGCCCTCCTTTTATCTTCATAAAGTGCCCTTGACAGCAATATAGCTTGAAGATGGTTTAGCTTATATACAACTAATAAGCTGTGTCTGAGAACCAAAAAAAACCCTTCCTGAATCTTTCACCATTATCTCACATAATTCCTCAGTGGTTACTAAGAAAATGGTCTCATTTGAGAACATTCAAATAAAGTGAGATCAGAGGCGTGTCCTTATCAGTCAGGCACTATGCTGGTAACACAGACAAGCTGCTGTGGGGTGATGACAAGAAAGACACTGGTGATATAGGTTACACCTTAATGTCCAAGCATCTCATACTTGCAACTGTTGACTTTGTAAACGGTTTATCTGCCAAAGGTCAACGCTGGCATTTACAGTATGTTTCAGTGCAAGTGTGTGTCTGCATCTTACTGAAGTGTGTTAGGAGTGCATTTAGGCGTAAACTGTATGAGTAGCACTTCAAAGTGGGTGTGAGAAAGCAACTTCCTGGTTGCCACTTATTGATCTGTGCATTGCAAATATGTGTTCTTGACAATCAATATTACTTTGGTAGTTCTAAGTGAATGCGTCAAAGAGGTGGCTGAGGGGGTTTCCTCTCATCAGTGCCATGAAAAGCATCATTCTTTACACCTCAACACCAGAAAGCAGACTAAAATATCAGTTAATAGTTATTTAAAAGGCGGAAGAGGACAAATGAGGAGGATGGTGACAACAAGGCTTTGGAAAATGGTGATAAAACAAATCCCGTGAAAGGGATGTACTGCGCAGGGAACGGGCCAGTGATCTTTGAGAAAGCAGGACGTTGTTCATGAAGCACCTTGTTTTTGGTAGGACGGAGTGCTACTACTGCTGTGGTTCTCCGAGAAACTTCAGGCTTCGTCATCCTCTCTTTGGGATGGCCCGTACTGGGCGATGGGCTGCAACTTGGTGACGTGGCCGATCCCTTTGGTCACGCCCTCTCTGAACAGCACCTTAGCTCCGACCTTCAGGTACTCTGGGTGCTTGATAAACTTGAATAGAACCACTGCTTTCTCCCCTGTCCTCAGCTCCTCCTGTAGTTCAATGATTTATGGTAAGAACAGGACGAAAAGAGAGACAGCATTAAGAATAAACCAAATGTAAATCATAGTTGGGCATAATCTAATTAAGGATAAATCAAGCCCAGGTTCTACAAGACAGTTGTAGCTCAGTGGATGAACTAACCTTGCCGTACACAGCTTCCACAGTGGCAGTCTGTCTCACATTGCCAATGTGCACAGTAACCTGAAAGCCCTTGTGGAAGGTCTTGGCATGGAAGAGCAGCACAATCTCAGCCTCAAACATCCAGCAGATAGTAGGATCCATCTCCGGACTCACCATCACCATGCCCTGTAAGTGGAAAACACACGAACATTGTACACACATATATCAGATAGAGAGAAATGTATAAAGAAAAACTAAGAGTTTTATTAATTTAGAATAAACATTAATGTGTCTGACCTTGCGTAGTAATGACCGGTCGAAGTTGCCCAGGGCAAGTGTGGCAGCCTGGCCGGCCCTGAGTACCCTGCATGCCGAGCGATTCCTTTGGATGCTACCGATGGTCAACTGGTGAAACTGGCCTGAGTCTGTCGGCCCTACCACAAGGTGATCTCCCTCACGGCAAATACCACTGCACAATCAAAGAGAATGGTGGGTCTGAGAGAGTCCATGCTGAAAAAATTTGAATTAAAGAACATGAAATAAGTGTTTCAACACACCGACCTGTACAGAGTACCTCCCACCACAGTCCCCACCTCTGGCACTGTGTAGATCTCATCCACCTGTAATGATGCACACTGCTGTCAGTCACATCAGAACCATATGTATGTAAGGTGTATGTATTAACACAATATATGTGCATGCATACACAAACTTCATGTCAGACCTACCTGAAACTCAGTTAGCTGTTGCATAAGCTCTTCTTGCTCCTTGCTGTTGCTGAGAGGAGGGATGGTGTTGAAGAAGACCTTGAGCAAGTCAAGACTCTCTCCAGACACACTGGACAAGGTGAAGATGGGTGTGATGCTGCCAGGGAGAGCACAAGCACATGATCAGGACACACAGATGTCACTGGCTAGTTTCTACCATCTTCAGAAAGCATTAAATGGTTCATGTGCTTATGCAATTATGCATATGTAGTTGTTTCATACTTGGGTGACTGGGCGAACTGCTGTGCTGCTGTGACTGCATCATCAGTACTGCCCACGACCATGGGCACTTTGTTGCAGCCCGGCTGCTTCAAGACCCGCTCCAACTGCCGCACAGTGCGCTCAACTGTGGCCCGCGTACAAAGGTCCACCTTACTGATGACGATGAAGATAGGCACCTTCAGGGCCATGGCAATTCCGAGATGCTCCCGTGTTGTACCAGCTGAAAAAGAGGAGGTGGAAAAAGTAAGGTTTAAGTTAAGTCTAGATGGAGGGTTTCACCACATTGAATCTACTTGCTCTTCATCATGGAAATCCACATTCTTGAGGGAAAGTGTTGTGACCTAAGAGAACACCCCCCAGTGTCAGTTTGGGCATGTTGGATGTCAGCAAAAATAAAACATAACACCAGATTTCATTATAATCCTGTGTTTTTGAAGGCTTTTGCTTTCAAAACAGAGACAGATCATTAACAGAAGCTCACAAGCGTTCTGTGAGTTGTGCTAAGTGTATTCTTATCTGGGCCACTCAGTGTCGGTTTGAGGGTCAAGAGATCATGTTTACAAACTGATAAGACCAGGCCGAATTTCCCATGACGTGCGATTGTTATGCCACTGGAGGAAGTAGATAGGATAGTGGTACAGGAATATTCAACCATATATATGTATATGGTATAATTAATGCCTTGTTGTCAAGAATGCCAAAGACAAACCTTTCTAAACAAAGTGACTTCTCACAGAGGCAGCAGTGTCCTCGAGGCATGCCTGTTAGATTATGTTTCTATGTAAACAAAGCTGGCACGTAAGAGAAAATGATATGTATAGCAGATCATGTCTTGGTTTGGATATAGGTCTCAACTACGTCACTATAGAGACAGACAGACAGACAGACAGACAGAGACTCAAAATACCCTGACCTCTTTGTCAGCTGAACAGTGTGTTGTTCTGCTAGTTGTTTGTTAGTTTTAGTGAATCCAAAGTAAAGATGCAAAGTAAAAATCAAAGTCCCTCAACCTATGTAGAGGCAAGTGAGTGATTTTCAGGTGCCAAAATATTTGGTAAAGCATCACACAATGATACAAAATGAATACCTGCCCTTTGGCTTTTTGGCTAGTCACAGCTACAACTTACGACAAGCCCTATGCATTACACAGATCCATTACTCTGTTTCATAATTAAAGCTGTTGCTCTTAGGTTACAGACACTGTGTGCCCTTTCTGTCTATTGCATAGCTAAGGTGGTCCTCATTCTTGACCCCGTTTCTCCCAGCATGCCCAATTTAGCACAGACAGCCACAAAAACACCTACAGTGTATAGACATTCAAGCATAAATACATATGATTTAAAGAATAATTTCCAGAGAAAATCAGTGGTACACTTTGAGGCCCATTTCAGTTTTCCTCAGCAGTGTTGTAACAATTCACAAGGCTAAAACGTGGAGCGGATTTTTCCTTCTGTATTGTGTTTTTTTGCTGGTAGAGAAATTATTGGTCAGGTTTTACATCTGGATGCAATTTTCTTTCGGTTGCGGGATATTACAACTGCATTAAATAAAAAAAACTGCTAGGAAATGATTCAGCATTTTGTTGTTGCTCCCTCATCTTCATTACTTTTGTGTTCTTGTTTCCCACTAAAAACAGCAGAACATGGTTAGTAAAATTTACCACTTGAAATAAACATTGTGTAGAATGAAACAAAGTGTGTTTCAAAAATCCCTGTCAAACCCAGTGCCTGGGTCTGTGTCACTTTTGTTTACAACCTTTTGCAAAACAGTGAAATTATATAGTTTAAAAGGACCTAGAGAAAAAAAAAAAAAATGCCAGCCATACATTAACAGCAGCTGAATATAGTTCACCTAATAACTCCCGCAGACTGTGAGCTGGAGTGCTAAGTTGCCAGTGTTGTCTCAAAGGCTCAGTTTCATCTACGTCTCCTTGCTATTTGCAAAAATAAAACGTAACTACATATTTCTTAATAATCCTGTGTTATTTAAGGCTACTGCTTGAATAGCACAGAGATTATTTACAGGAGCTCACAAGCCTCGAATGGTGTATTCTTATCTCGGCCCACATGCTGTGTCTCGCAACGCCCCTCCTCCACACTGAAAGACATATGTCAGGATGGCCGAGCGGTCTAAGGCGCTGCGTTCAGGTCGCAGTCTCCTCTGGAGGCGTGGGTTCGAATCCCACTTCTGACAGCAAGCTTTTCTTTCTTCTACCAAATCCTACAAACTAAATCAAATAGTGATCTACTGTTACAGCAAGTGCAATAACAAAGAAGAGTAAAAACAAACAATGTGTCTTCACATCCAAAAGCAAAGGACTACAGAAGCTGCCCCACCAGTTTCAGCAGCTTATGTTTCAAAGTATGTCCTTCTTGAACCTGGGTATTGTACAAGCTTCCTGCACTTAGTCTCACTCGCTGTTATCATAAAAAGGTCTGTGGGTTGCTGAAAGCATAATGCACTATTACAGAATCTATCAATAAAACCAATTAGTAAAATGTAATGTCTGAAGTTGAGAAATCTCTACTTTATGTAAATGAGAGGGGAATCCCAGCTACACAGAAAATGTATATCCCAAAAAAAGTACCAAAGAATATTCTGAGCCGTAACCTGCAACGGTAAACTGCAGAAAAGAATGTTGTTTTCAAGCAGGAAACAACTTTTGCACATGTAGAGACTTGGGATGGTGGTCTGTTACATAAGCTTAGATATTGTATGTTTGCAAAGTGCTGAGCCACAGCTGGCCGCTATAAGTCCACTACAGTGTGAAGGTGTGGTGTACACAAACATAGGCTCTCTGTCAGACTGGTCCTGCAAGGGTCTATTAACAGCCTGTGTCCCTGGCACAGATCCACTTTCAGCTTAGCTTATCTGAATAGCAAAGTGACTGGATAAAGTGCACACAGAAAGCAAAAGTAAATTTTAACAGACATTCAATGATACTCAAATTATTACAAATTTGAATTAATTAGTCGGTACTCACCAATGCCAGTATTTGCGCTGACGACTAGCATAGCGAAATCCGGACAGTAGCTGGTGAGACCGAAGATGGTGGTCTTCAAGTACTTGTGGTGACCCGCCAGATCAATGAACGTAATCATTTTAGAGGCACACTCACAAATCTCCTCTGCTGTCCGAGACTCGCTGTAATTCACAACCTGGGAAAATAAGTAAACGTATCTGGATTATCATGATTAAAATTACACAAAGAAAAAAGCAATAGCACCAAAGTATTCCTCATTTACTTAAAAGTATACATCAGGCTAGATATTAGTAACTCGCATTGCTTGCAGATGCAGTAATCTGATGAATAATACATCAGTACATTAATATTTAATTGTATGTCTTACTTCTTTCTATACTATTACCAGAATCATATTGTCTCGTCTGATTTACTTGGAACATCTCGATAAGGCAACCTAGGGTATGCATTATTTAATCTTTGGCGTTCGACTCCTTTCTCACCTCTCCTTTACTATTGAAGCCAAGGATTTCAAAGCTGATGCTTGAAGTGCGTCCAGTCTGGATCTCATGTAGATGTCTGAAGAGGTTGAGCCTCGCTCTTCCCCGCCCATTGTCCAGCTCACCCTGTGTCAAAACACCCAACAGAGTGGACTTTCCAGAGTCCACGTTACCCAGTACAGCTACTCGCAGGTCCAAGAACTGCAGGAAAAAACACAAAGAATAAGCATGAATAAAAAATGTAAATTAAAAAAAAAAAAAAAAAAGGATCAACAACACAGAGCAACAACATGACTTAATAGTAGCCTTCCTAACCTGCTGGTCATCTGGCACCTTGCGAATGAGAACCTCAGAAATCTTACGAGGCACATCAGAATCATAGTCCACCTCTCGCTCTCTGAGGACAGTGATGTCAGCTCCAACTCTGTCAGAAAAATGTTAACAAATATAGAAATAGTAAGTGTGGTGTTTTGATTGTGTAATTACAAAAATTGAATGCTTGTTACTTAAAGTATGCTTGAGCAATTTGAAGTGTTTATGATACCACATTTGTATTCACCATTTGTTTGGTTATAACTTAATATAAAACAGTGACAATGCACTAAGTTTTGAATAAAAGGTGAATTTGATAATAGCTCGACTTACTTTTCTGCCAGCTTATGAAGCGTCTTTAGTGATGCCCTCATATCTTCCTCTGATAGTCCCACCAGCATGCCATTATCCTCAACACCTATTTGATAAACAGCTTCCCCTCGACCCTCCTGCAGTCGCCATTTCATTTGTGTTGCCAGGTGCTCGAAGCGGTATTGTGTGGGGTTCACCAACTTCAACTAGACAAAGAAAAAGACTTTAGTGCTGAAATTAAATCTAGATTGTGAACAGTTCATGGGAAATGGGTCTAATTAGTTAAAATAGATCCATCTTGATGTGGCAGGGGAAGCAGCTGTCCACATTCTAAAAATGCTCCTGCTAATCCGCTGTGGTGTTGATTTTCTATGGTAGACCATGTGAGACACTTATATACACTTATACATTCTTGCATAATATGCTGACAGCTTATTGTAATGGTGTTTGACTAATAAATGTAACCTCTAACACTCCTGTCAGAGTGACCTAACCACTCATTTGTATAGTGTTATAAAGCCACTAGCACACTTTGAAGGAAAATAAAACAACTTTTGAATGCAACACAATCCTTGCATGACAGCCAATTTGCTTACCTTGTACTCTATATTTCCCTCTTCAGCCTAAGAGACAGGGAGAGAAACAAAGAGAGACAGACAGAGTGAGAACAGGAACAACAGCTGTCAGACTGTAGAGAAGTGAGACAACAGGCTATTGATTTGGTAAAAGACACAAAGAAAAGCAATCTGACTGAATGAGCGGTCAGTGCACTACCGTGAATAGGTAGTCACTGAGAGCTATACAAACTAACTGCTTAGCAAGCCTTAATGCACAGCTATTAGGCAAAGCACACTAATGTGTAAAAGTCAATATACATTTAAGGTTATCAACATCCCTACAAGAGGGGAAAATATCCCAAATGTGTTCTAACATGTATGATCACTGCAGGAAAGGGGAGCTGGTTACACACAATCAGCTGAAAGAAGAACTGAAGCCATGGTGTATGTTTAGACACGTCCCATCACGACCATGGTAACTGGTCATAAACTACAACTAGCTCAGCTAACTTCCTGATAAACAAATGATCAAATCCTTCGTTACAGTGTTACAGTGTAGTAACACAGTCCTTGGGTGAGTGAATGTCAGGGACTGTAATAGCAACATTAGCTTGACACAGTATTTTGACCGAGTGTACACCCGCCCCCGCCCCCCCCCGTTAGATATTTACAAACACAGCTGTTCCTCTTCTGCTAGCTAAGCTAAATACTAGCCAGCTATTAGCAAACTGCGTTGAGTTTAACACACACATTTAGGCTGAACGCTGTAAAACTGCTGTGACTGGCAAAAAAATGTACGTTAAGTTAGCAGCAGCGAGTGTTAGACTGCTACTTTAATGCTAGCCTAAGTAACTTATACACCATCTCATTCATTTCCCTTTACGTTGCCGACTAGCTACGTGTCACTGCGAGTTCAAAGTCAGGACAGGGTAGCAGCAAACACCGACGACGGGAAATGCAGTGGATATCTGCGGTTACTAGAGTTAAACATCCCAACAAGCACACAGACACCGACTTAAGTTCACATTGTTGATATCATACGTTCATTGGAGTTACGCTAGCGGTAGTTGTGCGCTTAATTTCAGCCTTACCTCTGGAGGTAGATATGGGGTGTTATTGCTTGGTTTGAAGTTGCGAGAGTATCGACCCTTGGATTTCTTGTTGTTCTTCACACAGGCTTTTTTGGGGGCTACCGAATAGCCATTTCCCGGTTTGCCGTTGGACGCAACACCTTGAGAAGCAGCACCGTGTCCATTTCCTGAGCAAAATAACTCCGATACCCGCGCATCCATCAGCTACTTTGGGACCTAACTTGTTAGCTTCCCACCACCTGGATAAATATGATGCTGTGTTGTTAAAATGGTGGCATGCAGGTGTTTTTTTTTTTCTTTTGGAGTGGAATTAGCCTGCTAGTGGTAGCTTATAGCCCCCCCAAAAAAATAAAAACAAAGCACCGACCTCCCCCAAACTCTTCAAACCGAACAATAACAGCCCCGACCGAGACTGTCGTTTTGAGTTTACACTGTGCCTACGTCATAGCCCTACATGTCAATGGGGTGTACCTGAATTTAACAACTGGACAGCGCGAACGAGCGGGTCTATTTGTTTTCTGTCGTGTGCGCGGTTGTATGTAGGTTTAAACCCCGCCCGCCTAGCTTACCTAAGTTAGGAAAACAGCGTGCACACTGTTTTGCACCGCTTTGAGTCAGACGAAAAAGGAAATAATTACATACTAGTTTACAAAGACTTTAAAAAAAACCTTGCAAACGTAATTACACAAGATCTTTAAATGTGTCATGAGACGTACATCAGTGAATGGAATTTGAACTGTAGGTTGGCATTCATTGACTTTAGGAGAATGCATCAGCTGTGTGTTCATTGCCACGCCACATCACAACACACACACACACACACAACGACAACATGAAGACACAACCTTTTATATTTTCATAAAGATTTAGGTTGACTTATCCACTCCAATGTTACACTTCTGAACAATCAGTCATACAGCATTACAGTATTGCTCCCGTTGTGTTTTGCCAAATTGTCAGTTTTCACCTGGCAAAAACAAACAAACAAACAAACAAACAGAGCGACTTCAACGGTGCAATTTCTTGACCACAGCTAGGGGACAAGAGTGCCATCTGGTGTTTGGTTAAAAACTATTCCTGTATTGGCCCAAACTCCGTGGACCTCTGGGCGCCCTTGAGAGGACAAAGGGTCGCAATGGAAAATCTGACTAATTCAGAGGCGGTTTAGATTGACTGACAAACATTGGTGGCCACACAATATGAAAGTGGGTCTGATTGTGTCTGTTTGACCATTTCCTGATAGTGTATGAATATGTCAGACTGTGTCTGGTTGCATTTATTGAAAACATTTGTTTAGCAAATGATTACATTTTAACTGGACCAGATGTCACCAAAAAAGCCCCATTACATTACATTTCCTCCTGTTGTTGCAATTACTGGTGGTATGGCATTATTCTTATGCTGTCAATTGTCTCTGTGTCAGATGTGATAGTGTTGTGAAATACACTATCACATCTGACACACAGACAGTTTAGTTTCACTTATATTTAATCTCAGGCTTTGAGTCACAGAGGATCAGTAGAGCTGAATGTGATAAACAAATAGCAAAATAACTCAACTCAACTTTTTACAAACAAACTCATTTTAGATAAGTTGCCCTCATTTTACTTCTAGTTACATAAAACACATTGCAAACACACACATTGCATAAAGGGAACTACAACTCAATCTCATTATACAACCCTGTGTTGTAAAACGTTAAATCTATCTTGTAATCTTTAGTCTATCCAGAAATATGACTCTTAAATCATAGACCTGTTGAAAGAACAACATGCAGTATGTCAACACATGAAGTTTTACAGAGCTCAGGACACACAGTTCACATAAACTGTCACAGCTTGTTCCTGCAAAGAGACTGATTTTTAGAAAAGTCAGCCAACTCCCCTGTGGGAAATGAATAGTTCTACAGAGTGTGGCATTTCTGAAAGTCAACACTGATTGGTCAGGCGACCTATGATGTAGGGGCTCAGCCCATTCAGTCCTGGCTGAGAGTGTTTTGGGATTTTTACAGCCTTAAATTCCTTCAAACGTCTATATTCTCACCCGCACGCACACACAGGCACTCCCTTGGTTCGGCTCTTTCGGTCAGCATGAGTTATCCACTGGTGATTCTGCTCTGTGTGGGACTACTGCACCAGACTGCGAGGGCCGTCCTCATGGATAAACTAGCAGACAACAAGATTTGTGGAGATGCAGAATGCTCATGTAAGTCAGAGCATTAAAGAGAAGTGTGTAGAGTGTATCCTGAAAACAGTTATGCATTAAAATTATGCAATCAAATGCATGCGCTTGATAACTTTTACATTTTTAAAACATTTTTTTATCCATTCTTCCCCTTTATCTTTTGTTTTGTGTGCTTTATTAGATGTTCTCTCCATGGCTACAGCCTTGGATGACTTCATAGCTCCTGACTGCAGATTCATCAACATCAAGAAGGGTCAGATAGTTTATGTGTATTCTAAACTCATACCAGAGGAGGGCGCTGGAGTCTTCTGGTCTGGAAGTGTATGTGCATATTTGTTACATAATACAAAAGGACCAGCTGTGACAAAGTTTGAAACTTTCAGGCCTTTTTGAGTAAAATGTCAACAAAGACATTTGGCTAAATATAAAATTTGATTGTATTGGAAACTGGCAAGCATTTAAATTACTTAATTACCTCTTGAGGAGGGTTAAATACATAAAGCACATAATGTTGTGTATGGTTATTTGTTATTTTCACTGGCAGGTTTACAGTGACCGGTATGTGGACCAGATGGGTATCATTGGATACTTCCCTGCAACTGTGGTGAAGGAGACACATACGTTTGTGGAAGACACAGTTAAGATTACCACAGCTGTGAGTATTTATAGGGCAATATCTGAGATGAATACTTAATTTTAGTAGAAGTAGTAGATTGTGGTTAACATGTATCTTATTTAATCCATTTTGTTTTGCCTTTTTTTCAGGACTTGGACTTCTACTGTGATTAAGACATGAAAGACTGAAGCCTCTCTTTCTCAAGTCTTGCTTTTAGTAATTCTGGCTTTTATAAAGGAGAGTAGACAGTTCTTCTCTCAAGCTGGTGTGTCCGACTATGTGCCATTACATCCTGTGGTGTTGTCTGGACACTCTCAGCCCTCCATAGCCCACAGTCTGACACCTCTGCTGTTGAGTCAGTTTGTCCTTTCTGTCTTTCTTTGTCTTAACAAGACACTTTGCTCAATAAACCTGTTTTCATGTCAATCCAAAGTGTTTATTATTATTATTTGTTTACCGCATTACCGTGACTCTACAGGATTGGTAACTGCAGTTTTATTGTGCATTTCTGCTGATAACACACTGTTATCGTTTTGCATTTAACTGCATTGCTCACAGTAAATTATGATTCATTCCAAAGCAGTGAGAAACAAAGTTCTTCAAAAGATATCTATGGTCTTTAAGAGATATAATTTCACAAAGGCATAATAGCATTTTTATTGTCTATATTACTCATGTTAGCCATTTTGTGTCAAACACATTATCCTTTTTTTTTGTGGTTCTGTGGCCAATTAACAAAGAGGCAAACAGCATACAGTTTTATTATTATTATCTGAAGGGAAGGTTAAAATCGAATATGGCATATCATTTCCCCTGTTATGAGACAGATAGGGAGGTTTCGTTGGGTGACCAACACAAAATAACAAAGCCTAATTTAATATTTAATCTTAAGTATCTAATCATAATTGCACACACTGTTATAGGTGGATTATATTGCATGCCAGTTAGCAGTTAGCCTATCATCACCATAGTTTACACTGTATGTCTATCCTTATTGGTTTGTTCACAACTTATGATGACACTTGTATGTATTCTGTGTTTGACCATGCCTTTTTTTAGACCAATGCACCTGCAGTTTTTAAAAGCTCTGTTAGATATCTCATGTTGCTTTGAAATATATCAAAGTGCCCCATGCCAGACCTCCTCAAAAGCGCACAAAGGCTGCTTAATGCCACATGGTGTATCTGACCTTTGTAGCTTTGCTTTTAATTGTGATAAAGTTACTTCATGGTATAAGTTATTTTCCATGAAGTGTTATTGCATTCTCTCTTGTGTACCACTCATCCCCCTTCTTTAAATCTATATCTGTAAGCCAGTCTGTCTGTCTATTTCACATGCACCCGCCAACACACACACACACACACACACACACACACACACACACACACACACACACACACACACACACACACACACACACACACACACAGCTTCCAGAAAGAGCTATCATGATTAAACATGGCCTGACATATTGTCACAGTTAAGATCTTTCCAAAAGATGATTTGAAATATTTTTGATTGGTTTTGAATCTTCAGTATCTCTACTTTATGCGTCATAGCTCCCACCCAGATACAGTGGTGAATAAAACATATCAATCAAATGTTCTCCATTTAAAATGGAGGATTATCAGATTTAAAGACGTTTCATTTTGATGAAGAAAGCCTCAGTGATTTAGTCAATGTTCTTCCGAGCTGCCAGTTAATGTCTGCCATCTCCAGAAGTCTCTTTCATGACTGCTACATGCATTGATTTGTGAGGACACTACAAACAGGTCATTTTCATTAGTTTATTTCTGGCTGACCTGAGGCATTCTTGGAAAGGCATGGCTTACAAGTTTAGGGAATAGGGCTGCCACACATTACGATCAATCTCCTTTCTTCTTCCCAGCCCAGATCAATACAAACCTATTTCAAATGAGGACATCTACTACAAAATGTCACTCTGCAAAAACATACCTGGGGCATGTCTGAGGGGTCTGTTAAAGCAGGGACAATTTCACAAGAGAAGAGAAGGCAGAAATACTTCCTGTAGCATTTTTGAAAATCTCAATTCAGAAAAACAGCATCTGTCTCAATATGTGGTCATACTAGAATGAAAATGGCATCATTACATAGTATGTACAACAGAACTGAATGCTGAATCCAATGATAATTACTAACAATTGTGAAAAGCTCTGCATCTTTTCAGCTGATTGCCATTTGCGGTTGAACATGTGCGTACCTTTGCACATCCACTAAATACACAAATGACAGAAAGTTACTCCTGTCTAAAGTCAATCTTCCATCAGACAGCTATAGTTTTAGGGTGTTACCATGGTGACAGGCAGGAATACTGTGACAGATGAGATTGATGTGTGTGCATGTTTGTGTGTTTCCTGTGTGCAAGCTTAAAGGAGCAGCTGCCAAACGCAGGCTACAGGAGGTGCATTTTTTCCATCCGGTGTCACAGCCACACCTCTACGCCAAGCAGCACAGCACCCTGTAGAGCTGAGAAAATCAACAGCTTCAGGTCTAGTTAGCATCTGGGCATGACATTTTTGACTGGGGAATTTTTACACCCCAAAAGCTATTGTCTAGCATTTCTGCGCGATGCAACAAGTCGTGATACTGTGAAACAAATGTGATCTAACAGCTCTTAATCAGAACAGTCAAAT